CTCCCACCTCTCTTCCAATCGAACCCCTCAATCAGCTATCAAACCCTCACCAAGCCCTGCGAAACCACAACTAGGATCTTTTCCATCCACGCCAGAAAGCGGAAGCACCGCACTGCACCGCACTGCACCGCATCGCACTACACTAACCAACCCCATAGCGCAGCAGCAGCACCTATCCATCCCCTCCCCTCGCACGCCCCAACCCTCCTCCCTCAAATCCCGCAACCGATCCTCGCCCACTCATCCATCCTTCCACCAGCACCACCCAACCATCTAGAACCTCGCGCCACGACGATCCCCCAACGTGGAAGACGCACATCATATCATATCAAACCTCTCTCTGATCTCTGCGCCCTATCTCCCAGACACCACCTCCATTTCCTCGTACGCCACACCTCCCAACCCTGCATCGTCCATACCCATAGACACACACTACCGAGTACCTCCAAAACATGCCTCGAAAAAATCGTATGATGTCTCTCGCGACTCCCCAACCACATCTCGCCCGCCTCTCCTTAGGTACCGTAACTCCCAACTCAATGTTTCACTCCCATCACATCACATCACATTACATCACACCTACTCTCCCATACCAGCATACCAGTATCTATATTTACCATTTCCATCCTTCCATCTTCACCCATCGCCCCGTCGGCCTGTGGAATTGAGTTTCGTTGGGTACCTACACTTTTCCCTAACCCTATTTCGCCACTACATTCCCCATAAAAATGCGTGAACAGTGAAACCGAGCATGCCGCGCAGTATCGAAAAACGCGGTATCAAAACTACCTACCTGCATAGTATCTCGATCTCTATACCAAGCATGCCATGTGCCTAATGTATATAAGAATCCAGAGATGTAGATCCCAAAGCCATCATGTGAGTCAACGGGTCATTCAAACGGAAGTAAAAAGAAATATTCAGTAATTAGAAGATTTTGATTCTGAGCGTGACACACTCTTCAAGTCTACCTAGGTATAATGACAAATTACCAACTTATGACATCGTTAACACTCATAAAATTCACTCCATCCAGATCAATCTTCAAACATCCACTAGCATTCACAGCAAAAATGATACTTATAAATATATACCAAATCGTGTCCATTCGCATCAATTTGTCATTCTGTGTGTAACCCATCCATATATTATACCCAGCCTGATGGCCTGCCCCATCCTATTGATCCGTCTCCTCCTCATTCACTCAAATATCATTACCCATTTCCCCAATACGCAAACATCCTAATTACAAACCCCTTCCAAATCTTTCCCTCTCCCTCGATAAACCCTAAAAGAAAGACAATCCTAATCTCATCAGTACCAGCCCCGTGCCATTCCTTGTCATGCCCCAGACCCAACCCTACAAGATATCACAGCAGAACGCTCTCACGCAAGACCCGGACCACAAGCGAGCGAAGGAAATCAAAGAAATCTCACACGCACACAACATACAACAAGAAAGGCGAAAGCGCTCATCCCCAATGATTCAAGAGACTTTTAATTCCATTCCATTTCATTCCCGAGATCATCAAGTTTCATCCCACTATTCCATTTGTTGTTTAGTTTTTACTCCCTCCTTGATATAGTTTTCCCACCTCGAAACATAACACCCCATGTGTAGGAAACGAAAAGCAAACACCCGTACCAAAACGCTCGCATAATATCAAACCCCACTTCAAGACCCCCAGATTGTTGTTTCGCCGTAAATGCCAGGAGACAAAAACAAAACAGCAAAATCCATGCCTACCCGTTATTACCATTTGAACATCCGAGAGAGAAAAAAACAGTAACAGACTCCTCCCTTGTGGCCGTTGCTGAGATTCAATTAGACTCCCGCAATATGTGCTGAAAGCAAAGCATGATAGCGAGGTGGTGAAAAACTCGCTCCCCTCCGTCCAGAACCTGCCTTCCGATAAATTCTGCAAAGGTTCCATACGCCTGCCATGCCAAGCTTATTATCGATATTCTTTTGTCCTTTCCCACCTACCACGCGCAAACATATGCAGATATCAATCAATCATACCCCTGTCCTTTCGCGCCTGTTTTCTATGTTTATTCATATTCCCATACCCAATTTATCCCCATACCGAAGCCTGTACACCAAGATTCTTGTTACCCCAAACACCGCTCTTAGATCCCCAGCCTAATCCACTTTCAGTCTGTCCTTGCGGGTTGGGGTTTGACGCCGCGGAAGTCGTTCTTGCATCCTTAGATTCAGTAGTTGAATCATTAGCAGCAAAGCCATAGCTTAGTGGAGATGGCAAAGGGGTAGTGGATCGCTTATTTAAAGCTGGATTGGCAGCTTGACCACTAGGTCTAGTGCCAATTGGAGCCACGCCGCTAGCGGGAGCCTTTCCTCCTTGGCGTGGTGGGGATCCACCGGGGGAGGAAGTCGAAGTCCGACTGGACTGTTGAGCAGCAGATTCGAATAGGCTAAAGCTGGTAGGGTTGGACGATGGGGAGGATGTGCTGTTAGCACGAGATCGTTGTTGACCTGGAGCCTGTGCTGTTGCGGCAGATTGAGACTCGGTAGCATTTTGCTGATTTGAGTTTTCCGCCTGGCTAGCTTGAGAATTGAAGTGCTCAAAGGCAAGAGGCGAGTGTCCCCTGATAGCACCTGGTGCAGCATTAAGGGTTTGCGAGGTGGACCCCTGATTGGTTGGGCGCGGGGTACCATTTTCATCGAAACTGCCATTTTCGGCATTGAAGGCTGGACCTTCCCCATAGAGAGCACTTCGCTGACGGGCAATCAACTCACGACGTTCTTCCTCGCTCATACCGCTACCTGGGCTTGCGATACGGTCTGGTTTGCCTCCCAAGATTTCAGCTGTAACGCCTTATTCCAGTCAGTAAATGTGCATAATAGATCTCAAAGATAAACAACAAAGACAGATTTTTCTTTCAATTTCACACAGGACAGTTGTAGGCGAGATGAAAAGAGTCATGAAAAAAGTCATGTACAAAATTTTGACTGATAAAAACGAACCACTGGGTAAGAGCCGCTGGGTACAGGGTATTTGACAAATAAGACTTTTATACATTGGAAGAGGGTGGCCTACTTCGATTATATTGCTGCTCTTGATGATAGTTGCGCAATTCTCTCTCACGTTGAGCCGCCATTCTCCTCTTCGCCTGCATCACTTGTTCGGCTTCATTTGCGCCTCTCGATGGTTGGTGTCGCTGGTTGGCATAGAAATTCTGAAGATTGGATCCCGAGAAAGACCGAGCATCACCGAAATCGCTAACCGAATGGTGTCGTGGAGGACCAGCAGTCATTCGAGGATCTAAAAACAATAGAGTTAGGGCTGAAGAGTTTCAAGTTGTCCTCTCTGAAGGTGAAGCATACCGAATTGTTCCGGAAAGGTTCTCGAAGGACCAACCATTGGCATGGAATCACGACGACCACCCGCTGGTAGGTTGAACATTTTTCCACTCTTGACTAGATTGTCAATGGCACGGTCGACCTCTAAATTTTCAAACTCATCAGCTTCTTGATCATGAGATTCCTAGCACATTCATCGAGACCATGTAAGGATATAGATCATTCCCATCCTAACCCCAAACACCAAAACCCTCTCCTGCGCAAGACAAAAAGGGCGAATGGACCTATTCCTACGACCAGTGTATTTCATTGAACGTACCCTCGATTTGTGTGCTGAAAGCAGTGGAGTCCTCACGCGGAACGACTGAGCTGGCGCCTGTGACACCTGTTAATTGACACCCTGGCGATAACATGAAGAGTTTCCAGACATACCAGAGCGAGCAGGTGGGGTTTGTTGCTCCCAAGAAGGTTGCCCGGAGGCAGACCATTGCTGATTATCGTAATAAGACATTTTTGGCAGATTGTCAATTCGAATAGATGCTTCGAAAGAACTGAGGGCCAGCAGGGTGCTCGATCTGAGTGAAAGGAACGTATACGACTAAGATTGTCGTGAGTATGGAATTCTATATAATGATTTCTTGCAATTAGTAATGATCGATTGAAGAAAAGTCAATATCCTCTAGAGATGATACTTGGAGGCAAAATCCCTCGAAGATTGGAGCGCATACAAGGAGAAGAAAAAAAGGCATGAACGTATGTAGCCGAGGATTGAAAAATGATATTGTAATAGCAGCGAAAGCGGCGTGTGGAAGTTTTGGAGGAGGGGAAAGAAAAAGCGAAGCAAGAGAAAATCTGTGTCTCACTACTAGATTTTTTTTATGAAGGAAAAAAAGTTCAACTCACCAGGAAATGAGAATCCAGCAACCACAACAACAATGAGTGAGACTGAACACCTTGTGGAATAAAGCAACAAGTATTCGACTGGGAGAAAGGAACAACCAAAACTACTCCGAATGACCAATATATATATATATGTGTGTGTGTATATGTAATATCGCTGGATAACTTATTCTAATGAATATCGTTATTTCCTTCGTTGATGGCGAGAGAAAAGGAGATGGAAGAGAGGTCGGAAAGAGGTTCAAAATCGTGTTGTTAGGTAAGTGACGATAATGAGGGAGGGAGGGAAAGAAAAAAAAGGATGGAAAGAGATTAATCTTTTTTTTTTCTTGGTGGATGGTGGATGGTGGATGTACGATAGATACTAAGGTAGGAGAGGTAGGCAATGTTTAACGGTTAGTAGTAATAAGCACCTGGGCACCTGGGTAGTCAAATAATGAAATTTGGAATCGTAATCTAGGGTACAAAAGAATACGATATCGTAACTGAATCGAACTGAACTGGGTGGAAGGAAATATAGCCAAGGAGGAATTTATTACCAGTTTACCAGTTTACCAGTTTACCAGTTTACCAGTTTACCAGTTTGCAAGATTGCCAGTTTATCAGTTTGCAAGATTGCCAGTTTATCAGTTTGCCCGTTTACATACAATACAATACAAATACAACCTTTCGTTATTAGTCCATTTTCATACGTTTCCTCTTCCTCTTCCCTTTCGCTTTCCCACCCCCCTAGTTGGTCAATCAACAGGTCCATAATGTCCCTCTTCTTTTCTAATCATCATCTAATAAGAATTCCTGTGGTCACTTGATGAGCGGGTGGTTCAATCAAAAATGGCGAATGCTTACCCTTTTCGGTGGGAAGAGCCGGTATGAGGGAATCGAAGATGATCCAATTCTTACCACTAGCGAAATCTCTTTTTGGTAGATCCGTGAGTTGGGAGTGGTGGAAATCTTGCGATAATTTTATTACTTCGGGTGGTGGTGCAGTAGTGTGTATTTGATGAGGAGTGGATGCGGATTTTGCTGACAAGGGAAGAGCAGAGGGGAAAGAGAGGAAACTCGAAAGAAGGAGGGAGATGAGTGATGAGTGATGAATGAGGAAGATTGCTCTTTACCAATGGAAATTCGATAAAGCTACATTTGATGCAGAGATTCATACCTACATCATCGTCTTTTCTTCCATGGGTCTGTTGTGAAGATGAACGGCCAGTCATGGGAGCACTGTGTTCGGTTTCTATATTTCAACGCTTTTTGTCTACATCAAGCTGCTCTCTATATTTACATGCATCTTCTTCCTTTCTTTGCTCGTTGTATACCTGCCCTGTTGAGGATTTGTACAATCTAGCTGTCTCCTCCTGCCGCTACCACTTACCCACTGATGTCGCGTTCTACATATTCGTCAGACACTTCAATCATACCGTCACGGTTCTCTAGCTGTCCCTCTTCCTGGAGACCCATTCACCCCATTCATTTTCTTCCTAAGTATTATCGTTGTGTCAGTGCTTCCTTCCTAACCATGTGTAGTACTAGTTTTACTCATATATAAAAAGGTACCAAACCACTCACTACCCGGTACTTAGATATTCTCCGTAACGTGAAAACTATATTAGTTCAGCAAAAGGTATCATATCTACTTTCCTCTTCCATCCTTCATTTCCAACTCATTTCCCTGATCGTGTTCTCGACACCTATCAAACATTGATATCGGTACGCGGTTATGGAGCTTGGTATGGAGATAGGAGAGTTGCATCATCACTCGGGATAACAGAAACTTTGATTTTATTTTGGTCACTGACTCTGTTCACCAAACGAATCGGATCAAGGCAAGAGGGGGTGGTTATACCACACTTTGTCCCCTCTTTACATGAAGATGGGTTTGTGCAGGAAAAGCCGTTGATAAGGATCATGATGACCTACCTTGATCATCTATTTTCATGTGTAAGGCTGATTTTTCATTTATTCAGGATTAAATGGTGGTGACAGTGTATCACTCACTTGCTTCATCATGAGATATAATATCTATTCAGCCTCATCGTTAAGTCTTGGTCGGAAGTTCTAGATGTTGTTCCATCTCTTCCCAAGTTCTCAGACATTCATCCCATTTATCCCTCAAATTGATGAATCCGTCCTCGGAGCTTCAATATTGATTGATGATTGACTGATTGATGCTAACACACCTCCCTCTTCAATCTTTACTACTCGGCCCTAATCTTTTCTAAAATGACCTCCACAAACCTACACGGACAGAACAGATTATCCAAACCTTCCAAGTGTATCAAATTCGTTATTTAGCGATAGCTTCTTTCGCTACACCCCACATTCATCTTTTGGTCTCTCCACTATTCTCTGGGTCTCTAAGAGTTTCCACTCTTCTATCGAACAACTTTCCTCAATGGAACACACCTAGAGCCCTAGACCGTACGATAACCCGCCAAAGTGTGCACGTTATGTCTTTGATTCCACACAGTCCCAAAGTATAACCTTGAACCCTTTGGAATTTGACTGGCAAGCAATATTCATGGAAGGAAATGCTCTTCTGTTACCTTCTGTTCTTCATCAAGCACCTAGCGAATGTATCCATCGAATCGCTCAATCGCTCCACCACCAATTCCAATGGACGTGCAACCAACCAACAGGGGGACTACAATTTCGCTGAGCGCGATATGCGGATGATCCTTGTACAATTTGTTTCCTGGATGTCAATGATCAAGCCACAGACGACAACCTGTGAATAAGTCTCGGGTTATCTGGATGAAGTTGTCTAGTCCCGAGGTTTCTCGTGGGGTTCATAAGAGAGAAAGAAAATTGAAGATCTCATTCCTCAATTTTACCCCTATTCGAAATGGGGTGAATCTGATTTCATGGCAAGACAAAGTCTTCGCGTACCGGTATTGACGGATGAGTGGAAAATCCTTTAGTGAGAAAGCCGTGCTTGATATATCGAACATTTACAGGGAGTCATTCACCCTTCAATATAATATTCCAAAAAGAACCAAAATATTTTGTTCCTTATCGCACTCACGCACTACACGCACTACACTCCTTTTACAAGGATCCTCACCCTATCTATCTTGCTGCTTTATCATTCGCACAACTCCGAACACCTTTCTGACATGCATCATCAAAGTTCAACAGCCGAGCCGAAATCTACTTCGTACTTTGTAGAGAATTATTAGCAAAGCACAGACAAAAGGAAAGATGCAGAAACTTTATACTACCGTTATTGCAAACCATGGTCTTGAGGAACGGTTCTTCTATTGAATATGACCTATCTATGATTACCATACTGGCATGCAACCATTCTATAGTAAAACATTTCTAATGCCGGTAAGCCGGTTGAATCTTGCTTCTAAGAAAAGCGTCACCTGGCAATCCTACCTACCCACACGCATTGGAAATTCCCGCCGGAAACCGAACCACAGAAGGGGAACAAACAACAAAATCTGTAAGGTGGCCCAACGAAGCTGCAGAATGTATGCATCCCACACCTGGGCCATTAATCACACCCAACTCTATACCGGTTTCTTAATGCGGTGCACGCCACGCATCTGCAGATTGTAACACCTTCGCCAAGTTCGCCCCACCATTGGTCAAAATGGGTTGGTTTGATTTGCTGTACTATGTATGGAAACTTTGATGCAACATCCCCCTCATTCACACGGCTCTTCCCACAGGAAATTGCAGTCACACTTTTGCTCTGCATATAAAAGGCTATATCTAACCGTCAGTTCGGAAAGAAATAGGCTACAAATACTGAAGCTTTCGACTTCCCGATTTCATGTACAATCGGTGATGAGTGAAGTTGCGTACTGTGCAACTTTATTACACTCAGGATATCTTCAAGAGAGAGAAAAATCAATTCTAGCTTATGCATCGGATGCGAGAGCTTCATATACAAAAGCAAGAAGGATCAAGATGGCAACGTGCCTCTCAAATGATTAGTTTTCACCATCAATATATGAATTCAATGTTGAAGTTTCGGGATTGATTCCGGATAGCCTACCAGTGAGGTATATCTTGAATTCTTGACACGATGGATATTATCCGCCTTCGTCTCCCACCAGTTCATCACTCCTTATCATCACGAGGAAATACAAATCTTTACTTATCGGAGTATTACCCCACCATGAATTTAACCATCCAGCGGGGTTTACGAGCGGTGAATTCATCTTCATCGTGATGTTTGAATGTTTTGCTTTGAAGTCGATATGAGGTTCCTGAGTTTGGGGGGCTCAACTCGAATATTTCATATTTCACATCATATCTTTTCTTCCCGACTAAGGAACTGGCTCCCATGTGTTCACGAATCTCTCACTTTTCTCACTTCTCTATCTTTCTGGTTTCTATGGAGCTCTCACCACGAACACAAACCACAAACCACATCAATAATATGTCGATACACGACGACCATATCAAAGAAGCCCAAACCCACAACTTCTAAAAACTACACGCAATCTAGCTACTTTCGGGCTTGAAGTAGTGTACAACATTCACCACGGCTCAAAGTTAGACAATCGAAATGTACACAGAAGTTAAGTCCGAAGGTGTATCTATCTTACCCTTTCTATCTATCCTCCAGCCTCTCTTCCCTCCCCTCCCCTTCCAGATCCCACAACCATCTCATCTCATCTCATCTGATAACCGACGTCTCACCATCAATTCATCACCATACATACCTACTTAGTTCCTCAACATCTCCTCTCTTTTTTTCTCTACACTTCCAGATTCCTTCTCCCTTCTTTTCACTACAATCAGTAATCAGTTAGTCAGTACTCATCCCATCCTCTCATCCCATCCCATCCCCTCTCCTCTCCTCTCCTCTCCTCTTCCATTTAAACCCACCACCCTCTATGCAGGAAGCGAGAGAATCCTAGGATACCTAGGTATCGTACCATACACAAATCATCCATTTCACCTTATCTCCTTTCCTATCATCTACTCTCCCAGCACTACCTACCTCGCATCATCCAACCCCCCCCCCCCTCCAAAAAAAAAATCATGTGAAATTTCAAAATTTCAAATCCAACAAGAAATTATAATTACCCTGCGGATGAAATAAATACAGTTCCATACCTACCTACCATCTATTAATCAGTAGGTACCTTAGCTTACCATCCTTATTAGCTTACCATCCATTATCAGTAGGTACCTTAGCTTACCTATCCAGGTACTTCAATCCTCACCTGCAACACCCGGCAGTTTTTAGGGGGTGCGCACATACCTACCCATTTATCTATCTATCTTCTTTCCTTCTGTCATGAGTACCTACCTATGGATATTCCAGGGCTGTGTGTGTATTTGGGGGGGGGGGGAGTATGTTAGAGATCCGATGTAGATGGTATATTTATTTATTTATTTTATTTCATTTCATTATTCGAGTACTCGAATATAAATCTGTATACGATATCTTATATCTACTACTAATCAATGAATTCACTCTTTTCAATTCATGTAGTAAAATCGTGATGTATACATTTATTAATTTATTTATTCATTATTACACTCCCTGTTCTTCTTCTTCCTCTTCTTCCTCCTCTTTCCCTTCTTCCTTCTTCCCAATGGTATCGATAGTAATGGTATCTAATGAGCGCCCTATCCCCATATTCCTATTCCCATTCCCATTTATATTTCATGCTTCACGCTTCATACTTCATACTTCCTCAATGCTATTGATATACACAAGCCCAATCATGGCCATCAATGCAAAGTTCGCTTCGTATCTCATTTGTCATCCATGTGCAGACTGGTTCCATCCACCACCTATCGTATCATACAATTTCGTCATTTCTTATTCATGTCGTTTTGTCTCGTGGGACTGCTTGCTTCAGATCCGTGGGAGATGTACTCCTACTCCTTGGGTATGTGAATGGAGATGGATTTTCATCTCGTTTAGTCTCCTCCTGTTGCCACTTCCTCAATCACTGTCATTATTTAAAAGTATTCCCCCTCTTCCACAATCGGCGTCATCCTCCTGAACTCTTCACCCCTCTCTCTTTCCAATACCAAAAGCGGTCTGAACCCTTCCCTCTTCACCAACTTCACCTTCTCCCCTCTCTCCACATCCCCCCCTCTCTTTCCCTATCCCCCATATCTCTTTCCCATTCCCCTTCATTCCCCATCTCCTCATTCACAAACAAGCCCCTCGCGTAACCCCTCACACAAAGCGCGCCCAAAACCTGCAGTCCCATAGCTGCCATAACCCCCGCAATCAGCGTTATATATCCCAGCGTAATAATCTTCTTACATCCACTCTCGGTCCATCCATCATCTCCTCCCGTCCTCCCCACAAAATCCGCAAAAGATGCGATGTGTGATGATGCGGGGATACTGGTTGAGATGGTGTAAGAAGCGAGACTTATTTCTTGCGTATTTTGCGACAGGGAGGGAGGTTGAGTGACGGTGGAGAAATCGAGAGAGGTGGTTGAGGAGGGGGTGCAGAGGATAGAAGAGGAGTTGGAGAGGAGGGTTAGGAGGAGGAGACGGGGGATTGCGCTGAGGAGTGTGTCGAGGAGGAGATAGTTTGAGAAACAGAGAATGGAGAGGGAGTGTTTCTGAAAGGGTTGTTAGTTCTTTTCTCTCTTAATAATTGTTATATATATCTAGTGATATCGATATCGATTCATGAATTTCAACAAAGAGTGGAGAGAAATTCAGGCCTGGATAAGGAAGAAAGAAATATACATACCCTCAAAGCCCCAATAACCCCAAAAACACTCATCACGTTTGCAAAATGTAAATACAATCCATAGTTAACCGCGAGGTGAAACGGCTCGTCGGGGAGTTGGTGGAAGAAGATTGAAAAGAGGGTGTTGGATGTTAGAGAGAGGAAGGCGATTAGGAGGGTCGTGGAGCGGGATGAAGTGAGAGAGCTTCTGGGTAGAGTTAGATAGTTGTGTGGGGAGATTGAGAGGGGCGAGGGGGGTGTGGATGGATTAGAGTAGATGAAAGTAGATGAAATAAGGAAGATAGAGGAAAAGATCATCCATACCTTGATAGTAATCGTGTCATTGCTGGTGTATGTATATAATCGATCAACACAATAAATAAAGTAAAATAATGGTATAAGAATGTGAATATCCCAAATCGGAATCCCCAAATCCGAATTCCCAATGCGGATTCAAGTCCGGTTTCAATTTCAATTTCAATCCCAATTCAAAATTCGATGTCGATATCGATATCACTCCAGAAAAGATCTCGAATAGAAGAATGTGAATGAATATAAGGGAATCCTAATCGCAATTCGATAGCCAAAGAAGTTTCCTTTGGTAGTAGGTAGTAGTCGTCGTAGTAGAAAATAAACGTATAGACGTATGTAGCTCAGTATATGTATATATATATATATATACCTATGTATCTCCCGATATACACAACAAAGAACAGCTCGGTACGTAAAGCACCTAGGCAATCCTCACACCTTTTTCTCCGGGCAGAAGAATGAAAAAAAAAGAAAAAGAGAATCCGTTTTCACACAAGCTGGCGCTTTTCTTTTTTTCCTCGAACTCGAACTCGATTTGATTCGGTACTTGGATGTGATATGCTAGGTAGGTATGTAATGAGGAGGAGATAAAGCGGATATAAAAATATTGCGATTGCTCAGAGAGATCCTTAGGATAATTTATTTATGTATATATTTCTTGCATGTGGGTATGTATGTATGTATTTTATTTGATATTCAATGTGATGATGCCGATGAAGAAATGGGTATGATAGTAGATTCGTAGTAAATGGATTAGAAAGAAAATAACTCTCTTTCTCTGCTTTTTAAGAGATGACGTATGCTCGATTGACTGTATGCTTTGAAATAAATGAATGGGTAGGAAATGGAGAAATAGACAAAAGTGATAATTCCGTGAATTCCGAGAGCGAAAGAGAGAAGCTGTGGCAGGGAGGGGTTGGACTCGGGATAGACGGATACCGGTTGGGTTGGTAGCCGGGCTGGGAATGTGTTGTTAGTTAGGTAGGTAGGTACCTAGTAGGTGCTGGGATTTCTGCGGTTGTGCGGGTTTGGCTTGGCAGAGAGTTTGAGAAAGAGGTTTTTGAGATGATGAGATAGATGATGAGGATGTGGTGAGAGAGTATGATAAGACGGACGAGGAGGGCACTGAAAGATATATATGTATTGTTATTGTGTGTAAGTATTGATGGATCAATCTTCGTGTGCACGTACGATACGACACGATGGATGTTGATTTCTAATTATGCATTAAGCTCTTAAAACCTTAATTCGAGTTCCCAATGACGTTCTTCATTCAGTCCTAGAGGCAAAGACGGGAGGAGATGCATACATTCTATCTAGATCTCAAGTAAATATCCGGGAGTGGATGCCGATTGGATGTTAGGAGGCGGTTCTAGACAGGTACTAGAGGATGGGTACTAGATGTTTAGAGGGTTAGAGTGTCGAGAATTTCTTGCTTGAGAACTTTTGTTTGGTACAAAGGGCCTTTTAGGGACGAGATAGATGAGAAGAAGGATGGAAAATGCGGAAGGGCCGGGTAGAAGTTTTAGTTCGGAGTTTAGAAATTTGTTCACAGATGATTAGATCATCGAGTCGAGGTAAGGCTAAGTGGGTTGGGTGCTTTTTGGGAATAACCTTATGTCGGGTCTGAGTCTTTCGGAGTGTGAAAAAGGGAACAGACATCCATCCAATAGGGTTGATTGTCTAAGGGATAGGTAAGGTTGGATGAAGATGAAAGAAACGGGTGTGTTGGAACAAAGCTGACAACCTGATACCTTGCTTTGTTATACGAGTCCTTCGTACAGACAGAGTAGATGAGGTAGATGGGCTCCGCAATTAAGGCGGAAGAGGAGGCTGGCCCCTCGGCCCCGTATGTGGACGAAGTATTGAGCTGATGGATTTAAGCGGCTTCTAGACAATTCAAGGCGCGAATCGCGATGCTCAAGAGAAGATGTTACCTCATCGTTTGGATGCCAAGGACCATCGGGCGTATAAATCGAGATGTAAGTATTTCTTTTGGGATGAGAATATGGAGTCAACATTGGTTGGTGGAGAAGAAATCGTGATCGAGATACAAGAAAAGTTGATTAGTGAGCGTGAGCATAAGTACAAGCAGTAAGGAAAAGAAAAATGAAGAATGCCCCCCCCCAAAATTGCCAAGCAAATGACTTCATGATTTGGAGGTTTGGCAGACTGTTTTGAATGTACCCTGGTTTATTCAATAAGTGGTACGATATAATAAGGCGGAATGGGATAGAGTGGATGAATCAAATCTTTGTTTCGTTGACAAGGAAAAAGACGAAGAGAGGAGAGATTGTGAGGGAGAGTGAGAGTGAGGTATGGTAAGAATAATGTGGAACATTAGAAAGAAGATGATAAAGAAGGAAGTGAGTTCTTTGAGTCAACATGAAGTAATCCTAATTACCAAGTTATTGAAGCGTGGACTCTGAAAGGCTGGCTGTACGTTAGTATTAATACAATTTTGAATGAGCATTTTGAGTACACATCATGAGAAGTCTCTGGTAAACATACGAGGTAAATGTATTGAATCCTGCTTCCTTACATTAGCACATGTCGGCACTTCAAAGTTGGATATGGATGTGGGTGTGAGTGCATTTGCAATTGTAAAGAAACCAAAAAGGGATCGGTCGGGAAACATAAGTTCATTGCCGCGGAAGATCCCTCAGATTCTTCAACCACCAGTGAACCCCCAAAACTCAAAACACGACAGAACCTCAAGGTCTTGTTAATCCCTTCACGGCTGTGGCGTAATATGACTTCTCCAGGGCTTTTCGACACCTCGGCGGTTAAGCAGGCGAGGCAGGGCTAGTGAAATTACCGAATGAATGCAGGGAGAATATATGGATGTCACCAATACCAGTATCCAAATGAAAAGAATAAATGAAGAATGTATCAATGCAATTGGTAAATTGGAGAAAATGTGGAAAGAGGTAATTGTGTGCCGCCTTTCCCCAGATTTCTCGTTCTTGGACGTGGTGGATCGGTTGAGTTGTGTGAAAGGATTCAGTATGAATTTATTATATTATCATTGATCATTGAAAGAAAGGAATGATGAATGTTCCCTGGGAAGACGTCGGGGATTTGATCAATCGTATCGGAAGGATTCTGGAAATCTTGGAGATTCAAGGAGATTAAATGTGAACGGAGAGCAACAGGAGGACCCTGATGAACCCCTCAATTCACCGGAAACCCATACATCTTCGTAGGATCGTCTGAGACTTGGAAAGAAATACTTCTTGTTCCTTTTTTGTTTCCAGATTTGGAGAATGGGACTGGGGTAGGTAGTAGGTCTGTACTTGAGCGAGGATACTATTCAAGGCACACACACTGTCTAGCTGCTAATCAACCTGATTCTCATGTTGCTCATGTTTCTCTTTGTCTTTTGGATTATTCCAGAATTCTTTGCCAGGGTGAATAAGGTTTGATCTCGGATTTAAGGGGTAAATCAACCATCTTGGATATTGATATTGATTGATATTGAGGTTTGGCTCTTCCTACCAGCAGCTCCTTAGCATGATTCGATGTTGCGAAGGAATTAATGATCCTGGAAATGTAATGAATAACTCCAAGTACCTTGGTAGTTGTAATTTATGGATAGATGGATAGATATATATCCATCAATGAAATGATTGCCTGGGAGAAACATGAGCCAATAAATCGCATCGAGGAATCGGGATGTCGAAGAAAGGTTCAAAGACTAGACTGTAGAAAGGTCGAAGCTTGAACCCCTTCGTCTCAGAAATGGGCATTTAACTTTGATGTACGATAATGGTATTAAGGATTGTGGTTGAGCCCTGCAGGCGGGGTTCTTTTTAGAATGAACGATTCGAGAAGGAAACCAAACGTCTTGGACTTGTGACTAGCTTAGTTCATAAAAGCTTGCACACTGCGTAGCTTACTTTACATACAAAGTAGATTTGTTCAGGCCGTGTTCGTATTGTTGGATTGTTTCTATGTTTTCCCTTTCACTGACTATGCTTCGTGGCTTCACTTTGGGCTGATCTTCTGGTAAGCTGTAAATTGCCCCCCTCCTGTCAGATTGGCGATTGCTTGGAGAGAGGAGTAAAGTATGGTATGAGTATCCCGAAGATTGCCATCTTACTTGCCAGTCCCCAAACAGGCACAGGCTCACTGCACTACACCGGACTAGGACCTAAAACTGTCCCGTTATGCAATCCACACACACACACTGTATGCACATGGATAACTAGTACGAGGTACCACGGTCACGTCGAGATTCTCCAAGATGGGGAATTGTGATGGAGCTTTTAGATACAGGAGCTGAATACATACTCGCCCCTCAAAGGAATGAGACTCTCTCCAGGGCTGAAACTTATACACTTGAGTGACCAACCAACTCGTTATTCATGATCATTTTCTTCCAATTACTTGGCCTCCTTGGTATGTGCTCTATGAACATATATTGTACCAGCGAAGAAGAAACCGTGGAAGAGCTGGAAACTTCTTTGCACCTAAATCTAAATATGCGGAGATATTTCGTGCTAGCCTGGGGATTTGTGATGCAATTTGGGTGGGCACATAGTATCCATATTAATATTGAGGTCACACAGTCACACTCGGTGTTACATGAAATGTGAATGGCTAGATGGTTAGGCAAAAGGAATAGGCTCACAAAGGAAATGGACTTATATTTTCCGAAGTGGTGACTGGCACGAGGGATATAACCAAAAAGTAAGTTTGAGTAGCTGGGACCAGAGGAGAGGAGAGAGGACTTGGCTATGGGGGAGATTTGCGTTGGCCATGGTTATTACTCGTATCATATATACATACATACATATGGAACTCTCCAGGTTCTCTCGTAGGTACGGCCAGTACATGGAATTGGAGGAGGCAGATCTACGCATGTTGTGTTGTGAACCAATTTACCAGGAGTCGAGTAGTTTTATGAGTAAATCCTAAGAGACCTCAGAATCGCCCGTATGATGGAGGATTGTACATGTGAATGTGTGAATGTGTGAAAATGTGAAAATGTGAAAATGTGAATATATAAATATATACGAATGAGTACATGAATAAAAGGAGGTATAATCTCTTTCCTTCCATTCCCTCCAGGGCGATGAATAACCGCTTCAAAAAATGGTCTTGATACTCAATTCTTCCATTGTCCAGTTCTCCAATTATAATTTCTATTGATGAAATCAATATCAATACCATACAGTTCGAACTAGTACCTACATACACCTACCACCTACCACCTACCGACCTACCTATACCTACCTAGCTGGAGGTAGTTACGAATCACATGGAACCCTTGAGATAGGAGAATATTGAATGAAAATACGGGAAAGTGCCATTCTCATCTTTTAAGCAGCAACTCTTTTGAGCAGCAATCCACCTCCTGCGAGTCCTCCTTGTTACCTTCTCCTGCTTGATTACTTCCTCCTTCCTCCTTCTCCCCTCTGCCCTCTTCCCTCTCACCTCACCCTGTTGCTGCTTTGCTGGGACCAGAACCATGCTTAGCGTTCCTTGTTAAATCGAGGAAAGTCCAATACTCACGTTCCTACCACACACGCCCCGAGAAAGTACTGCTTTACTCCGTCTATTGATTAATTACTACGACTCACTATAGTAAAGTAATCAAGTACAGACAGTATCCAGTACCTACCTAGTACACCACCTAGTACACTCTCTGGTATGAAAGTGCGTAGAAGTGTGATACAACGGTGGAAGAACAAAGCAACAGCCCTCCCAAAATAAAATCTGGTTCCCATCCAATTCTCTTTCTACCAACCAGATTCCTACTTTTCTCTCTCCTCTCATTCAAGAAAAGAAATAAAAAATAAACAATTGATCAAATTTCATTCTCTTGTCATAATTAAAACCAAAAAGACCACGGAGGAATAATTCTTCTCGTATGTTTATGTTCACACTGCACAGCGGAATCCCGTAACAGATACCCTCGATTTTTCCAAAGCAACGAGTTCCCTTTTTTTCTCCACTCTTCAATTTCGATACGAATTTCTATGGTCCGGAATTAAAAAAATAGCGAGGGACCAATACATAGGACCACACTCACAACGCAACTCAATATCAGAAGGGGGCAATCTCGAAAGAAGGAAAATCAACCTCCGACAACCTCTCCTTCTTTGAATCCACGAATTACGACCACAACCACGACGTTTGTTTACGGAGCACAATTACATATACTTCCTACATTGGGGAGACTCTTTGATTCTCTTTCTCTTTTCATAGTTGCGTGGCTACCTCCATCGTCTTTACTCGTACCAAGATCCGTTTGTCTTTGCTTCGATTTCCCCGTCGGTCGTTTAGAGTCGAGACATTCTCAACACATCGTCAAGAAAAACGACATCCCCTCGCCCACAACAGAAGGAATTTATAAGGTTGATGGAGGGCCAGCCTTCTACAGGTAATTCTAAATATCAATATCAATCTGCACAGTGGTCGCGACTCGTGCGGCGTAATACCCACGCCGATTCAAATTCCAGCTCCTCGCCGAGTGTTCCTGGTTTCCCTCAGCTTCCAACCCAATTCATTCCCATTTTACTTCCCCAACAGCCCTCATTTCACCAACAACAACTTGAACAGTACAACAAGCTCATTTCTTCAGGCGGAAACACTAGACTGCAAACTGCACCACTTCCCCCACTGCTTTCAGCACAACACATTCAGGCGGTGCCCGGACAAAGATCCAGCTCAAGTGGCGTTACCACGGAACGAAAACCAAAACCTGCTGCGAGGGGCGGTCATGGGAATAGGGACGTACGAAAATTTAATAAAAGCGAGCGCGCGCTCATAACAGAGAAGGAGACATCACCAGCGATGCAGGGCAAGAAATTTGAGTTGACAGCTCAACTCCCCCCACGACCAGTTGCACAACATCAAAATTCCACATTGTCTCGAGAATCGAATTCCGTACCTTCTACACCACATCAACATCCGAGGAAGTTCTCTTTCGACGAGTCGAGAGAACCTTCACCGAATGCCCCTGGCAGCCATTCCCCTAGATCGGCATACTCCGAATCAAATATAACTCTACCTTCGAGACCACCTCCTGCCCAGCGGAGAGGGTGTCAATACGAAACGGCTATGGCCTCCATAAGGCGGCGCATGCCTTATAGTCTTGGGGCTGATCGATTGGAACAATTGAAGGATTCTGATCTGAAAAGCAAATTGTCAGATGAAGAAGAGAGAAAATTGTCCACAGATATGCGCGAGCTATATGATCGTTTATTGCCAACGGCGGAAACCGACGAGAGAAGGAGGAAGCTGGTGTCGAAGCTGGAAGATATGTTTAACAAAGAATGGCCTGGGCACGATATACGGGTTTATGTTTTCGGTTCATCGGGCAATTTGCTTTGTACTGATGCGTCAGATGGTAAGTTGAAAAGGTGCTAAAGTCTGAAAGCTCTACTGATAGATAATCTTAGTCGATATTTGCATAACGACCGACTGGAAGGTGATGGAGGGTGTATGCATGATTGCAGAATTACTCGCAAAGAGTGAGTATCCCGACCCCAGCCAACGACAACATAACTGACATTCTCTAGATGGTATGCAAAAGGTAATTTGTGTATCGACTGCTAAGGTTCCCATCGTCAAGATATTTGATCCGGAGCTCGAGTTGCCTTGCGACATGAATGTCAACAATACCCAGGCCCTAGAGAACACTCGAATGATAAAAACGTACATCGAGATTGATCCCCGTGTGAGGCCCTTGGCTATGATAATCAAGCATTGGACAAAGTCAAGGGCGATCAATGATGCTGGTAAGAATAGGAAACCCCTTGGCATGACTATTTTCGCTCACATTCTTTAGTTGGTGGCACATTGAGCTCATATACATGGATATGCATGATCATCAATTTTCTACAGAGTCGGGAGCCTCCTGTGTTACCATCACTACATCAACGGCCTCACCTCAGGTTACCAACGAAGGAAGGGGGTGAAAGCAGCTTCGCAGACGATATTGACGCCTTGAGGGGGTTTGGTCTGAAGAATAAATCAACCTTGGGAGAACTTTTGTTCCAATTCTTTCGATTTTACGGGCACGAATTCGATTATGACAAGCAGGTGGTTTCGGTCCGAATGGGAAAGCAAATCTCGAAGCAGGAGAAGAAATGGTCAATAGCAACAAACAACATGCTGTGCGTGGAGGAACCTTTTAATACTGAACGGAATCTTGGAAATACCGCAGATGATTTCTCCTTTCGTGGACTTCACTTGGAAATGAGGAGGGCATTCGAGTTGATATCTGGCGGCAAACTGGATGAGTGTTGCGAAGAATATATATTTCCCAAAGAGCAGGAGCGAGTTTGGGAAAAGCCACCCCCGTCTAAGAAGCCAACATTGACTGCTAGTCATCCCCCGCACAGGAATGGCAGAGGAGGTCACCGTGGCGGTCGTAACAACCATTCTAATCGCAATTCGTCAAATGGCAGCCGCAAATCTTCAAATAGCAATTACGATAACCACATGTACCCACAGCATGGGATACCGTCGAATATCTCTACACAGGACCAATGGGCTGCCCAGCAACAAGCGCAATCACAGTTGCACAACCACCTCTACGCCACGTATTCGGTCTTACAGGCACAAGAGAATACTTTAAGGATGCAATTGGTCCAACAAACGTACATGGAACAGGCTCATGCTCATGCTCAGGCTCATGCCCAGGCTCAAGCATATGCACAGTCTCACGGTCGCATACAAGGCGGTGGCATGCCAATCAAGCAACAAGCCACTGATCGAAATCGAACCTCTTCGTTTGATCAAGGGCCATTAACAGCACCTATACGACCGGACGGTATGTACTTTTATCCGTTTCAATACGCTGGGCAACAAATGTATGCATACCCAACCTCGAGTACGAATCCATCATCTCCGCAACTGAGTGCTGTTGTGCCAGAGATGAGGAGAGGTATTCATCGGTCCACTGTTACAAATGGCTCGAGTTCCAACATGGTTCAATCGAATGGGTCTATCAGGTCACATTCACAACCCGGGACTCGTACTGCTCCTTCGCCCCTTTTATTGCAAGGAAATGGGCATCCTGCTCATGGTACCAATGGAATTGGGCTGTACCAACCTTTGCGACCACAGGGCAACGGTGTTCCCATCCCAAATTTTATTCCAGACGAGTCCACTGAGCAAGGATATGAGTCGAGGCGAACGGCTACTACTCCACCAGAGCTTAGTACGCCAAAGGAGTATGTTGGGTATTACGTCAATGAGCCAACTCAGCCATATACTCGCAGAGATTTGCCTTTAGCGATACCTTTGTTTGGAGACATATCTGGAAATAGACGGCGATTGTCAACCGATCAGCTGCCGCAATCGATTCGTGACAGGATCAAACGTAATCCTTCACGGTCGCCGTCTCCACTAGGCAACGATAGACGCTTCTCGCTGGCTCAATCTGCTCCATCTCAACATGCGATGTCCAGTTCCAATCTTCGTACCCTGCACACCAATGGACCATTGGTAGTGAACGGTTCTTCTGCTGTGGGAGTCCCTAATTCTGTTCCGACAAATGAGGGGCCAATCTCTGAAAATAAGATTTCCCACGCGAGAGGATCTGTTGGATCAATATCCCAAGCGTCTCTTACTGAGAGTGATATCTCATTGGGGGAAGACTTTTCTGGGCAACGTACACCTAAATTTACACGAAGTGGTCTAAGCGAGGTTTCTCCTTTAGTTGCTAATGGATCTAGTCCTAACCCGACTCCCCCAAATGGCTCTAATAGCCATCAATCAATCGCAAACGGATTGGCATCTGCAGAGGGCCTTGATGGGTATTCACGGTTGTCTCCTAATTCAAGGAATATTGCGGCCCGCAATGTCCCAAACGGCGGCATCCCACTCCTCAACATTGCGAGTGGTCATAATGACATCCTCTCAAACGAGCTGTCGCATCTTTCACCCGTATACGAAACGCACACACCCTCACCGATGATCAACAAAAAACTTGAGAATCTGAAGTTGAATGGACCTGCTGTCATTGAGAAAAACAAAATTGATCATTCAAGGCCAATCCCAAAGCAGTCAGTGGGAATTGAGCAGCCGGTCAAGCCATCTCCATCTAATTTGAAACAAAATGGGCATACTAGATCTGCTAAGAGTGAGGGTGGTGGACCCGGAGTGTCTTCTGGAAAATGGCAACAAACCCAACGTAAAAAGGGGCGTACTCCTATTGAGGCTAAGAATGTTAATGGTGGTCATTCGCATGGCGAGAAACTCCCTGTCAACGAAAGCGAGCGTAAGGGTGGGTAAATTGTTGGTAGCTTGAGATAAAGGTCTACGTGATCAGGTGAAAGTCAAGCTGAGAGTCGCTCAAAGGATCAATAGGTGTTCGACGTTCCAATGAAAGGCTTCTCGCAACTAATTGTGGACGTATTATAAGGCAAGCGGCTTACCTTGCGCGTCTTGAATGGAGTTAAAAAGGTTGCACACATCTGCATATGAATTTGCGATATTTGCAGCAAAAAGTGGAGGACAGGTCAAAGGGAAAGTTTGTTTGCATATCAGATCTCCTTGGCTATCATCGAATAAGCGTGTTTTACGACTATTATAGATTTCCTCTCCATGTCTGTCGACACATGGTCAACCACTGGAGGCGAAAAGAAGAAAAATTAAAAGAGGGTTTCTCGAAAACTCATTCATTCAGATGGATACTTTGTTATGGTTTTCTATCTATGCATTTGCAAAGCGATATGGTTCTGGGTTTCGGTCCGGGCGACTTTTTCTGGTTTGGGATTGTTTTCGATTCTTTCTATGCTTTTCGATTTTAAGTTTTGCTATTGTTTTGGTCAGAGGGTTCATAAACTTGCACAATGGGTTTCGACTGGTCGGGTTGTTCTTTGATATACAATTGGCATGCATACACATAGGGAAAGCTCAAAAATGCGATACTTCATGCAAAGTACTTGTTTTGATGGCGCGAGGCGACGTGGGGGTGGTCGGTCAGCAAGGCATTAAGCGGGAGTGGGGTTTGTGGATTTGTTTTTGTTTTTGTTTTTTTTAAGTCATTCGGATTGGGTGGGATGGTATGAATGGATGGTAAATGAGACCAGCGAGGAAAGGGAAGCAGCGTATGATAAGGAAGAAACGGAATGGTCTCGTGTGTATGTTTATAGTATGGATGTGCAAGAACTGAGCGAGTATAACAAGCGATGAATATGAGAGGGTGGATGAGGAAATTCCCTACTGGGTAAAGGATTATACATACCCAGTGAATGTGCGGAGCAGAGCGAATACTGACGCAGCAAGCGATGCACAGTGGAAGATACATGAAATGAAATGAAAGAATAAAAAAATTGTCAAAATGAAATATTTGAATGAATGAGGGGGTGATTTGTGAATGCGAATGTGAATATGAATGTAAGTCGCTGAATAGGAGATCCATCATTGTGGGAGTGGTGGAAGTGATGGTCCTCTTATCAAGTGTCTCTAAAAGTTAGAAGTCTTTCTTTATGTTGTGGAAAAAGTTTATTCGTTCATTCATTCTTTCTGGGATTCGGTATATATTTGCTTTGTGGGGGATGGAACTTAGAGATGGAAGATGGTTCTTGGGCTTACTTGTGGCGAGATGGGTTTGGTCTGAGGGCTCTTTTGCTTGTGGTGATTCGTGAGGGGGGAGGGATTTGTTATGGTGGTGGTGTTGGTATGGAGCTTGAGTTGTTGAGGTTGAGGTTGAGGTACTTGATATGTTGGGGCTTGAGATTTGACATGATGAGATTTGGGTTGACTGTGTATGGATGGAATAGAGGATCGAACTTGAATCAAGGAGATATCGAAATTACATGCTAATCATCACCGATCTTTAGCGAAAACGACGATACTGTAGAAATTTCCCACATGTGATCAACTAGCGAATAAATGAATGCTTTGCTGACTGGAAGATATATCACTGCTTATTAGGTAGGTAGGTAGGTAGGTAGGTATAGATTATATGGGTATTGTGAATCGCTGTGCTATGTTGGGGTTTTATGGTGATGGATGTGTTATGATATGATATGATCGATCGTTGATCATTGATCATTGGATAGAATGCACTTGTAAATTGAGTTTTGAATGGAATGGAATTGAATTGAATAGAGAAGATGAGGTAGCGGAAATATGTTTTGGGTGGAAGTGAAGTTGGTTAGGAGGTTGTCTTTTTTGAGGGGGGCGGCTTGGCATAATGAATGTATTTGCGGAGGAAAATGGGGTTGGGATGGGAAAATGAAATAGGGATTGATGGTTAGTGGATGGGGATTTGGAAATGGGTCGCTGAATGGTTTGGGAGGCTATGTAATGTATGTAATGTGGTATTTTTGAGTTGACTTGTTGGATGGGGTGGTGAGTTGATAGGTAGGTATGCTGGATTTTTTTGAGGAAGGGTTTGAGGTTGAGAGAAGTGGCTGGCTTACTTGGCTTTTGGGGTTGGTTCTTGAGTGGGGGTTGTAGTTGGTAAGGGTGGGTTTGGATGGATGGAAAGGCTTGAGGGGGGTGGTGTGAGTTTAAGATAGAATGGGATGGAATGGGATAGAATGGGATAAGATAGGATGGGATGGGATGGGATAGGATAGGATGGGATGGGATAGGATGGGATGGGATAGGATGGGATGGGATAGGATAGGATGGGATAGGATGGGATGGGATGGGATGGGATAGGATGGGATAGGATGGGATGGGATAGGATGGGATGGGATGGGATGGGATAGGATGGGATGGGATAGGATGGGATGGGATAGGATGGGATGGGATAGGATGGGATGGGATAGGATGGGATGGAAAAGGGAGGGGGTGAAGAGAGTTATGGATTAGAGTGCTAGATGGATGATTAGGATGGGACATTCTGTACAAGTAGCGGTACAAGATTGTTATGATCAATAGCCAAGAAGTGAGGTTTAAGTATACTGATATGGGTTCTGATGCAGTCCCGACATTACTGGCTCGTACAGTAGTGAAAATTGCTAACGCCAGATTGGCGAATGTGTATTTGAATGATGTTCATATGGAATCAGTCACTAATATATGAGACATTCGAGTTCTTCAACACCGATATAGAAATGCAACAGAACTGCAGCCTAGGTTCTTCTCTCCGAAGCTTTAGAATGGCCCTCGTGACAAACTTATAAAATGTCGGTTGACTATCTGATTGACTGGATAAGACTCACCGAGGAAATCACTTTGAAATAGAACAGTGATTTGGCTCCTCATGATCTCGACATCTTCTGATTGAATTGCTTGACAAAATATGAATACTCTCCATGTTACCGATCTTTAGTAGCTTTCCCATTTTAATTCACATGCAAATTAAGCATGGAATTTCGCATTGCAGCCAGGTCAAAACACGATTGACGTTCAAATCGGAAGATTCAGGGTCCTTATTGGTCTAGCCCTAACAAATATCCGATTTCGGGTTGAACGATTAGTGTGTCCGTCCCGTCCCGTTTACCTAGCCGACTAAGACCCCCATTCCCCCTGTCTGACTTCCCCAAGGTAGTTCTCCAATATGATGAATTGAGCAAAGTGTCATCTGTTCACTCAAAATGATGCACCGAGTAGGAAACAATGTGAGCATGTCAAATGATGTCAGCCTTGCCCCATATATTATTTGTTCTACTCTATTCGTACATTAAAGAAGGGATCTAGAGTTTCCAAAGGATTGCAGTTCCATTTGCAGAACGGGCACGGAATGTGAGTCATTTGCCGTATACTACCAAATGATAAAGCAATATTCTAGATCTGCACGGCACTAGAACCGTTTGTGCGCCACTCTTGAGAGGTCTATATATATTAGCTAGCATGCCCGCCCTCGAATTTCCGATATCATGTAGGGGAACTTGTGATGGGTGACGGATGAGTGATGTGTGAATGCAATTGATCAATCATATCTGTCCATTAGAAAGTTCTGCCTGTCTGTCTGATTGTTACGCGAAGAAAATCATGGGGAATTGAGAATGACGCTTTTCCTGATTCTGTTGGCCGAAAAGGCTGTGCTAGTCAGGGACCATGGGAACCAATCGTATTGATCTTGTAAGATCCACATTGACTCGCCGGTACAAAATAGGTTTAGTTGGCTGACAGGGAGTCATTGGAGTCATTGCGACCTGCTTTGATTACTTCGAGTGAGATGAACCTCGAAAAAGTCATATTAGATACAGTTTTTCCTTTCAGGCTTCCAAAACTTTTCGTCTTTTTCCGTAAGATTCATCGATACTGATTCAAACTTTGACTCCAATTCCCTTTCCAATTGTTCATTCAATACTCGTCGTCGTTAATTCTCTTCTGTGAGTTCAACGGCAAGTAGAGTAGAGTCACCCCGGGACGAATCCAATTACCTACCCCTCTTACAAATCATCATCTAATCGATAAGGCTGTACGCGTAGTCAATTGATCAACAATGTCTACAGAAAATCAAATGCCTACTTTCAACACTTTCACAATTACTCAACCCTTCTTGGGCGCACCTCTTCAATTCCAACCTGCTCTTGGATCAAAAGAGCTTGAGGAATTGATCGATGCTTACGTTATTGGAGGTGCTTGTAAACAAGACAAGCTTTCCACCGTGACAATCGATTTCTATAACCATGCAACCGTCGATATTAACACCGGTTCCCTGGTCCGTCGATACGATGTTATGCCATGGACCTTTGGGCACAGTCCTTCTCAATCACAATCTTCGGGATTGAGCCCACCAATTTTCACTCCTAGTCCTGCTTCCTCAGCTACCTTTGCCGATTCTACTTATAGCTCAACGAGCACCCCACCCAATCGCACTACGGGGTCACGAGTTACAAAGAAGACCAAGAAGGATACCACCAAGAAGTCTGCGGAAGTCAGACTACCTGGCTTCTCGATCATGACTAAGGATGGTATCGATGTTACAAATTCCGCTGGCCGTGGAACTAAAACGAAAGAACAGAGAGAGCATGCACATCTGATGAGAATCATTAAAGCTTGCGATGAGTGCAAGCGAAAGAAGATCAGAGTGCGTAACTCTCAACTTTCTTACTTTTGAATCGAATCCTTGCTAATCAAACTATAGTGTGATCCATCTCATAGACGTGCTTCTCATACAAACACGCCGAGAGCATCTACGTCAAGCAGGCCTTCTCCTCCTTCACAATCAAACCCAAGTCCTGCTGCATCAACACCTTCATTATCTAGAGAAACTACCCAAGGCTCTGAACAAAGCAGTCCTCCTGTTGATTCATTCGCAATTGAAGATTTTGTGCTTTTTCCAGAGGATGACCTCAACCAATGGAACCCAGAGATGGCTATCCCAGGTTTTGATACCCAATACAACGACTTCAGCATGACTAATTACGAAAACTTCCCTGATTTCGATACCAGTTTCTCAACAATGAATGATAACATATCATTCGACTTCCCAGTATACGATCAATCCTCATCTTTTAGTCCCCAGCTATTAAATACCACTAGCCACATACTAAATTATCACAACACACATCCATTGAGCTCTGCAGATGGCAACTCGCAATTCCTCTCTCAAACTCAACCACAGCCCGATCTAGATTTCTTCGAATCATTTAGCAATATACCGAACTTCTCGCCAACCCATACTCAACAAGCTCATCCACAAGGCTTACCACATGAAGATCCTGGGAAGATTGATAGTTATGGACATGCTTCAACTGCGAGATCTCAAACCCACAACATCTCATCGGTACTATCACCCGCAAACACCCAGACCAGTGGTGCAAATATCCTAAATGACTTCTCTACGACATTCGGCTTCTCCCCGACTGATAGTTCTTACCAATCACAAGGCTCAGAAAATGGCTTCGCCAGCACAGGCCCCGATAATGCATATGATTCTGCTTCTGGCTCGGGTGTCGACTCGGGCATTGAGCAATCACCACGATCTGAATCAAGTGATAGCGGCCATGAGACGGTATCCAGTACAGAGAAGGGACGCAGTCGCAGCCTACGCAACAGACAACAAGTACTCCTAGAACGTGAACGCGAGCGCATTGATGATCATGGCCGCCAGCTTACGAAGGCTCTCCTATCCAACAATGGCAAGTCTCATGTTCCTGGTGCTTCCACGGAACAACCAGTTTCAAGCCCGAGCGTTCCACATGGCGGCGACGGCTTCGTAATGACCACAAACACTTCCAAGAGCTTCGCTTCTAGTAGTATGCCCGTTCATGAAGAAACACCATGGAGCTTTGAATCGACGCTCTCTTCATTGGCTAGATCTAGACCGGAAGTACCACAAAATGCGATGGAAAGCGGCCGCGCCCAAAGCGTATCTATTGTTGTGAAACCTCACGAAAACCCTGACAGCTTTGCAAGATCGAACAACTCGACGATTATTGATGCCTCTCTAAGTCGTGCTGTACGACTAGCTAGCGATCGTGTCTCTTCTCGCCTTGCAAACTTTGCCACGATCAGCTCGGATAGAAAGATACTAAGTGTCGGCACCGACCGTGTATCTACAACACCTAGTTTGCAAGATCGGCATTGTCAAGGCTAATATCCAAGGTCGCAGTAGAAAGCACGCCAACACTATCTAATGTAGTTTCAACTGGAACCCTAGTTGTACCGGACCAAGTCGGCGTTGTTTCTTCTCCTGGTTTTGTAATTGCGAAAAAGCTTTCAAAGGCATCATCTGGTTCTTCCACCAAGGTCAACAGTGGCTCTTTGGATTACAACGGCGTTGAGGCAGTTGTTCAAAAGGCCCAGGGTGCTTCGGCTGGACAGCTTTCGAGCCCAAGCTTGAGCCTCCAGACTTCGGGATACACCTCCACGCTTTTCAAGAATGGCGCAGAAGCAGTAAATATACCGGCAACCACCACGCTCGGCACGATCTCAACCCTCGCAACACTAGCAGCACTTGGTCTTGCCACTACCGTGGCAGTATCCAGACATGCTGAGACAGCCGCGATGGTATTGGCTATTTGTCTACTTGCGTCCGCGTGCTGTGATGCTCGATCGGTTATTCCTGAGTCTGGAAAGGGTTTCATGAACATCTCGCTTGGTGCATTAATGTGGAACTTTTGGTCCGATATGATACTCAAGATAGATTGCGAACGTCAACATGTAAGTTTTCCTGTGCCAAAACCTCTACTTTATCTACATCCTGGAGAATATTTACTAATATTTTTTTAATAGGTATTGAATGAAAAGAAACAATGGATTGTTGCTGCGGCTGGAGAGATGGCGAAGAAGTTTTCCTCGAGAATCTTAATCTAGATGTTGGCATTCGTGCTAGACATGATTAGAGATTTGAGGAGACGACACTTCACCTTTTTTAATGATGTGTTGCTATTTGGCGAATGGTATATCGGTTGCGACATGATGCTTTCTAGCATTGCACTTTTTGAAGATGAGAGAGACAGGGAAAGGCATCGGTGTGTAGAACTTGGTTGGACGAGGTTTGAAAGCACATTGGAGTATGGTTTGTTTTCATGGCGCATAAATACGGCATGGCATATGTTGTTTTTAATAAAAGTATGTATGTATACGTAGGTATATCCTAGATGGCGATATAGAAATAATGATTCTTCTGCCAATCTTTCATCGTCGTGGAAAGCTGACCTGTGTGATTCTGACTTTGAAGCTTTGTTCAGGTGGATCAATCCTGTTCGCATCTTGATGGGATCGCTTCTGTATATGTTCCTCTCTTCCCTCTCCATATCCCAATCATCTCATCCCAGCTTTGCTAGAATTCCGAATTGATTATTCTGTATCCTTCCTAATCTCGTTTCTTCCGTCTTATCATTCTCTTTTTTTTTCTTCTTCTTCTTCTATATCTCATCTCAGCCCAGCTCAGCTCATTACTCTGTCTCGTTTATCTCATTCATTCCACTCCGTCCATAAACCACCAAATATAAACCACAACAAAAAAGAATAAGAAAAAGAATAAGAACACGAACATAAACATAAACATAAACAAGCAACTAAATGAATGAATGAATGAATGAATGAACGAGTATACTATAATTCTATGATCCATACTCAAGTAATACGAATAGAGTTTCGAAAATTATCATATTCATTGATAAGTGGAAGATATAGATACTTGGAGATGATGCGTAGGGAAGAAGTATGTATGGATATGTATAGTTTGAACTTTGAACTTTAGTACTTTGAATTAGAGAGATGAATTAATGAATTGATGAAATACTAAACATTAAACATACACTAACTACTACAATAAATTCTAATTCTAATTCTTCTTCTCTAAAAAGGAGAATAAATGGAATGTGTATATATTAGGATGTATGGTTACATAGCTTTAAAATTCGTATAAAGTATCAGTAGAGAGGAAAACTCGAGGCGGTGTCCCTACCTGGACTGATTGATCGATGAATTACTTGTGATGTGGATATGAGATATCTTGATATTTATTAGAGTGATTGGGTAGATGAGTAGACGAATAAATAAGTAGATAAATAGATGAATAGATAAGTAGTGAGATACTTGATAGATGATTGGAATATATCGATACCTGGATGAGGTCTATAGGTGGTCTTTAGGTAGGAGGGTGGTATATTATGGGGATGAAGTTTTGACATTACAGTCATTTTTTCGTCTTTTTATAAATTTTCAAATATTGTTTCATTCCAATTCTCACTCTCTGTTGTATGAAGTTTCAGATCAGACTACGTAGGTATGTATGTATGCATGCAAATTTGTATGTTCCATCCATCCATCCATCCATCCATCCATCCATCCATCATCAATCATGCCCAACACGCAATTCATTTCTCATCCGCTGCTCTCCTCCACCATTCCCCAACAATACCCTGGCGTTATCCAGAACGAAGAAGTATCAAAATACCAATGGATAAAATATGCTTTCGATTCCGAAAATTTCGATCAAGTAAAAGAAATGAGCACCTTAGATACTTAATAATACAAATACAAATGACATGTTGACCAAGTGAACCCATCCGTGAGTGCAAGCTCGCGACCCAAGTAAGCGAGTAGACACCGCACCGTGGTTGTTAGTGTTTAGTCCCATTTCGCTCTAGTCGTGGCGAGAGTAGAAAGTTGCTAGCACTGCAGCATCGAGAAAGACAAGGAAGATTGATTCTAAAGAACAAGAGAGAAAAAAATCAAAGGTGATAGTAGTACGTAGGAAGGATGTAAATTCAATCATACGGAAGGTCTCCTTGAGACATTTAAAACTTTAGGCACGGCTGTTACAGTATCAGTCTCGTGTATATCAAAGGCGAGAAGATAATATTTGACTTACAAATTCCCAGGTAGTCGGGAGATAGGTCGACGATGCATCTTGCGATATCGTCTAATAGAGAACGGAGAACCATAAATTTGTTTTGTACAAACTATACTCCAACGTATCAGGGAATTGTGTTGTACCCATGGAACCCAAATGAAAACCCAAGCAAAAGCTTAACTAATCATTTATTGGTAAAGGAGTCTTTGAATAGCGTCCCGTTCTTTTTTAAAAAATCTCAGCAAATGTCTTTTTCTCTAATTGCGCATCGAAGAGTATGGGGAGGTAGCCTCACAAATAATCTCTCTCGAATTCCGCATCCAGATGAACGGGTACCCTATCATGATCCTCGGAGTCATTCCTCTTATCTCTTTCTCTCTCCTTGTCCTTGTCTTCTGACTTGTTTGCTAATAATTGCAACAGCAATTTATTATTTTGTGACACGATAAATTCAATTTTATCGACTTTGCTTTCTAATGCTCGTAGTCTTGAATCATTGCCCATGATATCGCGCCAATCTTCTTTGCTCAATTGGCCTTCCACTACGACGCGTCGAGGTGGGGATGGAGGATGAGGAGGCGCGAGTCGATACTCTGGGGCGTAGGGAACCATTGGTTCTGAGTGAACTTGAGGTGGTAGATGATGTTCGTTATTCGTAGTTCTTCTTCTTTTGTGAGGACGAAATCCGTTCGCATCGCCAAACTCTCCATTTGGGGCTGACTGGTATACCATTTCTTGGCCAGGAGGAGGAGGAGGATGTTGAGCTTGATTTTGTCCCATATCTGCGATTGGCTGTGGGGGAGCTGGACCCGCGACAATTCGCACACCTGGGCTTTGGTTTTGCATTGAGCTTTCTTGCGCAATCACTTGTTTCCTGGCTTCTTTCCTTGATTCCTCTACCCTTCTTCTCGCATCCACCTGTCGTTGCCTCTCGGCCTCCGCATCCGAATCTTCCACCTTTAAAAATTCAATCCATTCATCCAATAAAGTATTTAATTCTCCGCCTGGCTTATCAGGAATAACACCATTTTCCCAATCGCACACTTGTCTCCTACGAGCTTCCACCAATCTTGCGACAGTCGCGCTCATTTGCGCCAGAACTTTGTTAGTAGACTCATGAAATTGTGCGTTAACTCCATTCCAGAATTGACTCTTTGTTCCCTCCTTGAAATTGTGTTTTTGAGCGATGCAAGCTTTCAATGCTTGAATTTGATCGCGCTCATCTAAATTCTGTCTGGGTTTGCGCGTCGCACTTCCGCCTCCAATACTACTCGCGACGGAACTTTCTCTTAATTCTCTAGCTGGAGTCATCAAACTTCGCGGGATACTAGGAGGATGCATGCGCGCTTCACTGTTTGGAGTTGTCATGGTGGGCGTTTGATTTTGTGGTTGTGTTGAAGCTGGGGTTGAAATATTGGGTGATGGACGCGAATTTGCTGGGGTGGATGGAGGTAGAATGGGAGCGGGATGTGGTGCGGAAGATAGCGATTGTCGGGAAGAAGCGTTTTGCGCCATTGCTGGAACGAGCTTGAATGTGTGAAACGCTGATGGCATAGGTGAGTTGAAGTTGAAGTTGGTTCAATACCTGAAGATGTGGGAGAAGTTTTTAGATTTGGTGCAGGGCAGGGTGCGAATTTGAAGCCAGAGCGGATTCATGGTTCGAGATGAGGCTAATTTTAGAAACTAGTCTCGATAAGGAATAGCTTACCTGCTATGGTTTGATCAATTGTAACCGGTGGTAAACGACCCGTAGGACCATTATTGCTTATTTTGGCCAAAACTATTGATTACTTGGTTCAAGGTCTGGGAAAATTCAGAAAATAAATCTGTAATTTGTGAAGTATCAGGGAGATAGATGTTGTTGAAAGAGCGGTCCCTCGCAGTTACTTTTAGCTTCCTAGTTCACTATATTCAAGGAAGGTTCTCGCCTTTCCGAACAATATCAACGACACTGCCCCTTCCAATCTTAAATAATGAAGTGAAACATTTCATATTTATAAAGTCTATTCGACTACACTACATTACCATTCATCAATTAGACAAACATTGGTGATAGGCTAGAGATGTCAAAGAACTGTGCTGATGCTGATCATTTCCTCCCCTCAAATTCTAAATATGATACTCAAAATCCAACTCTCCATCCCCAGTCTTTACTTTCCTATTATCCTCAATCTCTCCTTTTCCAATCTTCTCCTTCATTCTATTCTGACTCTTCACATACCAAACCTTTACTACAATCAATATTTGAGCAAGACACAACGCTCCCAAGGAGAAACTGTTTCCAAGAACATAAGGAGAGGTTCGATATACTTGGCCTGCTACTATTCCGGCCGTGTTGGCAATAGATTGCTGAACACCGATTGCTGTCGCGCGCCTGTAATGTGGTGCTACGTTGACATTTAGCCAGGTTATGTTGAGTCCAGGACCTGTATAGACGGCGATAGCACAGAGGAAGGTTGCGAAGAATTTTACCCCTGAGATAGTGGTTAGTATTTCGTTGATAAATATTCTGAGAACTGTAATCTACCTTCAGCCTTCACTGTGAGCAGTAAAATATACCCAACTATTCCGAAGATGTTGGCGAAAAATAAAATCTAGAATCTTGGTTAATCTTCGCCTTGATTCGAAAATCCGAGATTGACTTACAGGTCCACGCATACTGATCTTGTCCGATACCCAAGCCAAGAACAAGAAACTAATCGCACCCCACATATACACTGGTATAGTAAGATAGTTTGCTTGAAGTGTGTCGTAGTTCATCGCTTTTAAAATGGAGGGTAAGAATGTACTAAACCCATACAACAAGCAATCTTGCATAAATTGTATGGCAGCACTTAAATTCTGGTTAGCACAAAGCTCAATTAGACTTATAACTTCTGCTCGTACCTAATATAAAGCTTGGGGTCTTTGAGCTCGATTCGAAATTCTTCCCATGAGAACTTTTCGGAGCCTACGTATAAAGATGAGCTGAGAATTCGTTAATGTGACGAGAACCGATTACACACCCATGTACTTCTGCCTCTGTATAGCCCTCAGTCTCATCATCTCCCTTTCTTCTGCGTTTAGAAACCATGCGTTGCCAGGGTCTGTCGGAAGACCAAACCAAACGACTACGGCGACTACGATACTGAACAGCCCTTCGATGATATATACCCATCTGAAACTGTTAGCTCCTTTCAATTCAATCTTTCGTGAAAGCGAAACAAACCTCCAACCCGCAACTCCTGATACACCATTCATTTGGAGAATTCCATAAGCCAAAAGACCTCCAAATGCGCCGGACAAAGCAGCACAGCTGAACAAATATCCAACTCGCTTAGCCTGCTCTTCTCGACGATACACCATCGTCAAATACAAATTCAGACAGGGAAATAGACCTGCTTCGCAACATCCAAGAATCAATCTTGTAGCATACAGACCTCCGATATTTTGAACAAATCCGGTGAAAATGGTAGTGAGGGACCATACAGCGCAAAGTGTAGATAAAATCACGCGAGGAGTGATTTTCTTCATTAACACCGCTGCTGGTGTCTCAAAGGTTACATAAGTTGCGTAAAAGATTGATACAGCGGTAGAAAACTGCTGATCTGTAGCACGTATGTCTGTCAACATACCAGCCACTTTCACATTGCCTAACAATTGTGAGTTTCCTAATCATCTCTAAGACAATAAATCGTGCTTACCTATGTTGGAGCGATCTAAGAAACAAGATAAATATACCAACATTATCACTGGAGTGAATGCAAGATCGAGCTTCGCGAGTAGCTTGACTTCTTTTGCTGGATCAATGTAGACATCGATATCTGAGTCGTCTGTATGGCCTAGAACCCCAGGCTTCTCGTGAAGCGACTCCATCTTCTCACTGTGAGGTTGCTCCATCATGACTGATTTGTGTTAGGTGTGGCGAAAATTGCTCAGATCAACTTCAGCACGAGGAACAGTCGATATTGACATACATCGATGGCATCATAAATTTAGTCAATACCCTCGTTATTATATGTGCAAACGTAGTGTCGAACATGGTCAGGGAAATATGATGTTACCCTGTTCACGGTCTTACAGTCCCGCGCGCAGGGTTGGCCCGATAAGACACCTATCAGGAGGTTTTATGGAAGATCGTCCTGCTATCTGCACTTATCTGTACCCATCCATGCGAACAATGGTTAATCTTTGTAAACGTAGCCGTTCAGCTAGTGGCATGTATGCAAGGATTCAGAGTTACTTCGCGTGACCGATAATGGACCCGACGGTGGAGGAACTCCGCTGCACCTTGCGGTCCCACATTTTACCAACCCCATAAATGATGTTTATCTTGTCGGGAAGATAACTGAATAATGTTAATACATGAAGAGACTAATTCTGATACTAATCAAACTCTGGACACACTTTGACTTACGATCCGTTAATCGGATTTATTATATGATATAAAAATCAACTGAAGGGGTTTCCTCAGCCTGTAGCCGATTAAATCTGAGGCCCTGTAGACTACGTAGTACTCAAAACAAGATATCCATGTAATGACCCGAATGTTGAGAGATAAATCATATTCATATCTGCGAACCTTACCCCTCGGACCATGTTGAATATTCAACCGCAAGATCGCTGCCCATTAAGAGGTCGAATTCAATATCGTTCATAGCAAGACTATCCCAGTCAACATTGTCTGAAGAAATGGTAGTATCCGCTCCAGAATCGAGAAAACCCATCATGAGATCAAAATTTCGCGGAGAGGTCTTTTGGAGATCCTCTATCGATGGTCCTTTTATAGCAGCTGTAATGGCATCTCGGACTTGTTTTGCGCATGTCCATGTTAACGATACACCATTGATAGCCTCTAATATTTGATCCAAGGGTCTTGAAACTGTAAGTTCTTTCCAAGAAGAGCCTTCGATAGATCTTTTCATCAATATAACACTCGCAGCTGATGCGAGGGTATGAACAAATGTAATAGGAAGGTGACTATAAGGGTATTCTTGAAGATTATTAGAGTGCATTCGAAGAAGTTTCATGATGATTTCCAATGACTCGTAGCATATCTGCATGTCCTCGGTTTCGCCAATTCCTGGTTCTTTAAAAGCAGCCCTTGGTGGGCGGTGAAGAAGTATCATTGCTGTATGATATTGCATGCTTAATAGTGTTAGTAAAACTCAAAATCACAGGCATCTAAGCTTACTGTAGATGGAGTACGAAAGGAGGCACATTGCCTGCAGTCCATTTTGTCCAATGAAGTTTCGCTGGCAAGTTCTTTAGCCATTTTGTCAAGGCCACATCCACTTCTCTAATTGAGGTCTCCAATATCGTTGGATCGGTATTTACATTTCTATTTTCGAAGACTTTCGTAATCATAAGATGTAGTATTTTGCAAAGCTCGATTTGATGAACCCACGAAGCGACTAACGCAAGACCATCCTCATATGCAGTCTCGGAAGTACCCTCCATTATGTATTTATTGAGAAGAAACTTCCATTCTGGCGGATAAGGTATTCGTACAGTGTCATGAACATCTGATTCCGCAGGGTAAAGAGCGGGCGGTCTTCCAAAATAGAGACTCAACTGCTTATCCGCTATAAAAGCAGCCCAATAAGCTCTCCGTAAGATCTCTCTATCGATCCAGGAATCATTAGAACCTTTCCAATTGGTAGGATCGAGATGCAATCCCATCTCATGGGCAATTCGAAAAGCCATGCCGGAAAACAGCCATCCCTTGGAAGTCTTTCCATGTCCAATTTCCCGATGACCAAGAAGCAAAAGGGCTTGTAAAGTTGTAAGGTTTGGTGATTCGAGCGCAGTTCCATATAGAATTTCTTGAGCACGATTGGAAAATATATCGGATAGCTCTCTCTGCGTTATACTCTCACTAGCAAGAGCACCCATGGAACAAACGGCATACATGAGAAGATCTGAGTAGTATGGCCCCGTACCAGCATCGAAGTCTCGGAGAAAATATTCCCTATACAAGCACATATGATATTGGTACTGGTTTTGAAAAAATATTCTCATAAGACATTTGCAGATATCACTTCGAGGAGAAAAAGCTAAGTGCTCTTCCATCGATCCACCTGTTATATTTAGGGTTTGGGCAGTAACTGGCTGCTTGACTTCAAGCTGCGATAGTATGGTAGATGGAGAAGTATCATCTAGATCCTCCGACGGGCTAATCTGGAAAAAGCTAGTTGCACCATAGAATTCGGCCGAATTACCGTCTTTGAGTTTCCTGAGGTGACCGGCCCTTGATCGTACAGGAATTCTCTGGGCTTCTGGTGGACTGGGCTCTGGAAAAGCAGAAGATTGCTTTGACTGTAGACCCAGATGATTCGTGGAAGCACTGAAATCAGCTAACATCTCGTCTCGCTTGGAAGCATCTGCGGCAATGAGCTTGGTGATAAATAGTTCTAGAGAGGCTATTTGGCCTTCGAGGGCTTGTACATATCCTTTTGGTACCGGCCTAGACTCGAGTAAGGAAATGAGCAGGAGGCACTTTACTCAATGACATGCATTTAAGCATACCTAGATTTTTCCGATTGCGGATAAACACATTCATGATTTCCTTTCCGACATGCAGGACACGGCTGCGTACGATCACACTTGATCTGATTTATATCGTCAAACACACATTTCTTGTGAGGGCATATCCACTGAAATTACTTACCCGCCTATATCGGCATCTCTCACATCTGTAAAATAGACATTAGTACTCCGTGTGACCCAAATCGCGATTATGACCTACGAAACTTTTGATGCTTTTTGTCCAGGCAATCTACCTCCTGAATGACTCATTGCGGGGGTATATACTTCGACAACTTGTGTCTTCACGTAGGGCTGAGGTGTCGATGCAGCACAAGCGTGTAGACTAGGGCAGTCACGAAGATCCGGTATCATTAAACTCAAAAAGTTGAAAGCTAATGCGTTAGATTTTGAGGGAAACTGACACAAATTTATCAAAATTGTATCTATAGAGTCAACGGTTTATTGTATTATTTTCGGGTGAGGGGTGGTGATGATGTGTGAGGATTAGCCTGGTTCTTCTCAGCTTGAGCTCAGATACGCCCACCTAGGCCCGAGCTAACGGTTAAAATGTTTATCCCGTTTGTGTACCCAAGGTAGGCGAGCTCACTCTGCCATCCAACTGTCTAATACAGACAATTATGAGAGAACCAAGCAGATCTCAATTCTAATTGAAAGATTTACAATGCCTTTACACAGTTTACATATTCTTTAGACTTCACGCGCGTTGAACAATTTCAATACCATTCGGAATTCAAACTGTCACCAGGTAAAGATGTAATTGAGCACCGAAAGTCGAACTGACAATCCTGTTTAGCTATCGATCTTCGACTCCTGAAAGCCAAATAGTTGATTTATGAAATGAACATTGAAACCATTAAGGATTGTTGTTAGGAGGGTCCTTGAAACCTCAGGATTATTTGGCTGAAATCTATATTTGGACATTCAAGAGTCTTACGAGGATGCATTTTTAGTCAGACAAACCTCTATATCGACTCAGTTCTTAACAAGATCACCGTCTCTGCAGTCTAATACTAGCATGTGGCCCGGTGCATGACCCATGACGGTTCCCTCCAAGCCAGCGCTGACAACAGCGTACTGCGGGGTAACACCACACTCCCCAAAACACACCGGAACTATTTCGTCGTCTAGAATCAGTGGGCTCCCATTATCATTGACAGAAGCATCGCCCCAATCTGGTCTAGCAATGTCCCGAATTCCCAATTTCTCCACGGCATCCCATCCCCAAGCAATTGGTTCCCCGTGAGTTGCTAGAAACGGTCTTGTGATTTCTCTAACTTTCTCGATATCATCCTTTCTGTATGGCCGCATAGATACCACGTATGTGCCCCGATCAAAGACTCCAGCAGGACACAACGATATGTTGGTCCTGTACATCGGCACATTTCGATGGTGTCTGATGTGCGATGGCGTTAATCCACCATCAACAAGAGCGCCTTCAAAACTGTACGAGCATCCGATTAAGAAAGCTACATGGTCGTCTGTCCAGTGCGCCTTTATGTCATCAACATGATCGCCCAAGAGCGCGCCATTCTCGTAGACCATATATTTTGGAATGTCGGTTCGGATATCGATATTTGCAGCCAGATCTTCATCTGTCACTCCCTCTATCCATGATTCGAGAGCATTATAGGATCCTACTGTGGCAGATTTGGCGATTAGAGGACATGGTACTGGATTTCTCTTGCAGAATCGCTCGAAGTCGTCAGCGTAGCGCGAAGGGAGGACGATAAGATTAGCTTGTAGATGGGATGGCGCAAGAGCTGAGGTCTGTCCTATCTCGCATTTGCGTGCCGATTCTCGAACACTTGCACCGGACATTGTTAATGTATGATGCTATGTATAACAATGGAAATTGTATTAACGTGTGGGGGGTGATGAAAGGTGGACGTCGTATTTTCACCAATAGCTAACAGACATATGAAGATTACATAGGAAAGAGAAAATTGGAATATACCTACCTAAATACCCACCCAAATATTCGGTTCTGGTGACTTTATCGAGCTGAGAAAGGCACATTTATGAGACGGAGTTCAATCTGCGCTTCAAGCAAGAAGAACATTCTGCCACATGCGAGCAAAGGCGGTAAGACCGGCCTGTCATTTTTCTTATCATCGACTGCAAGCTATGCAGCCTTTTCCCATCCATGAAGCCATCATAATCCAGGAGGGAAAACATCGGTTTCGTATTGAATTTATCATTATACAACAATTCATCTATCTACGGCAATCAAAGGCTCCGTTTTGAAATCCGTCAAGGACTCCCGAGGTCCTGACGGTTGATTCCTTGTGATCATTTCGGATTTTGGATGGAGAGAATGCTACTAGACTTTGTATTCAGTCCAGTTTCGGAAATCTACAAGCAGGATTGTTTATCAAAATCATGATACACAATGTGTTCATATGCACTGCAGCTATAGGTTTAGCTGATGGTGCAGCAATTTTTCTGTGAAGGATAAAGATATCAAGTTTGGGCGACCAGAGGAGCATACCAAGTAGTCAACATGAGGTGCCTGTTGAATATGTACAGTCTGCATACAAACAAGAAACGATTGTTTGAGGATATATATATATATTACCTATCTATACACAAATACGTCTGCCGTTGACAAACGAAGACTGGTGGGCGTTTCAATTATCTCTGCAAGAGGGTTTTTTGTTTTTGTTATTTTATGCTTAAGGTTAAGGAAGTCTCAATATTCTACCTTCCCAATTGCACCTTCTGGTGCGAATTTGGGTTCAAACAGCGAGACGATGGATACTGCAAACAATTTTTTAACAAGCGGATAGCCTTTTAGAGGTTTTCTATGTCACTATCGATAATCTTATTAAGCAGCGACAGCGCAAGGTCTTTTTGAGCATGAGTATGGAAAGGTAAATTTTCTCGTTTCGCGCCTTGATTGTACAGTGGGTACATCGAAACGAACGAGGGCATGGAAGTTGGCTTTCTCCAAGGCAGAACAATCCTTAAGAAAAAGCTATTCGTCTAAACTCTCTAGCTTTTGAGAGCTTTGTCCTTATTGTTGGTCATAAATCTGATCTGGTTGAAATGAATCTTTGTTATGGACGAGTTCACTCAGCTTGGAGAGTGAAAGGCGATGAGATGATGACATTGCCTCCTCTTCTGGGATTTCTGGCGCCCAAGTTCACAGATTGATAGCATTTCAAACAATATCATGAATGGCTTTTATTGTATTTGCTACGTACTCCTTCTTGTCTATTCTACTTAGAATCGAAAAGTCTCTATACATCCGAATCCAAACACCATAATATTGTACAACACAGCTGGTGTACAGCCTGTATTTGAAGATTCAAATACAAACTCCGAATTTCGTGCGATTTTCCCTGGTAATTACCCTTCGCACAAATCCTATTGAACCCCAAAACTCCTCCCCAGGTATCACTAAGGGAAATAACCAACTGATTCCTGAAAAGCCTACAAACAAATGCACTAATTCACATTCCTCTCACTGCATATTCCACTCGCGAGGCTTCCACTCATCATCCATTGTAACTCCACTCTTGATCAACCCACACTCCAACGTTCCCCATTTCTCGAGATAAACTCCTCTTCCTAATGTGATAGTCATTTGAACGGCCTTTTCAAAACCATCTGCATTGCGATAATAAGGCTCGCCTTGACCTCCGGATTGTTGATGCTGCCATGTATTCCGACCATCGCCGCCTTGGGAGTACTTAGCTCCTACCATGTCGTTGACGACTTGGAGGAGTTGGAAATATGCTGAGGAACCGGGCTCGTCGGTTATCCATTTCGAGTTTAAAGATGTGGATGCAGAAGATGTGGTTGATGCGGTTGGACTTGTTGAGGCTGACTTTGAGGTGGCATCATGATGGAGATCCGCTAATGATTTTATTTGAGGATTCGCTGATGAACCTTCCAGATCTCGCTTTCTATACTCGCCCACATTTGAATGGGTGGTCGAAGAACTGGATTCTTTCTCCCCTTTTTCCTTTTCTTGTCGCAATTCTTGCTGTCTATCTAAGGGTCCCTTTACCTCAGCATTGCCTCTTTCATATCCTTTACTGGCATCGGCATTAGTTTTTGGGTGATCCATAATATGACCTTCATTCTGGGCCCTTTCCTCCTCCTGTTTTTTTACCTCTTCGGCTTTATTGTCAAGCGTAGCTTGCTCTCTCATTGCCTGAGCTTTCACCTGTTCTTGCATTGCCTTTGTATGCGCTTGCGCATTCTCATCATCAACCACAGCCTGTTTTTTCTTTTCTTCCGCCTTTCTCCGGGCCTCTTCTTTCTCTTGAGCTTCCTTTTCCATCTTCAGCTGTTCCTCGTTATGCTTGCGTGCTGCTTCAATATCTTCCGGTCTGGTCTGGTCCGTAAAACTGGCTTCTACAGTATTCTTCTTTCGGTATAGAACAATCAAATCGTCAATGCTGTTCGCAACATCATAAATATATCACGTCCAGCTCTGTTCAATCCGTCAAAATCATTCCCAACTGTTGTCATTAAATGGCGTGGCTCGTTCATCTCATATCCAGCCATGATCAATCGATCGTACATATCACAATCAGTATGATAGAAAGGAATAGTAGTATCAAATCCACCGATCGATTCAAAAGCTGCTCTGTTTACCAAGGTTAAGTAATCAAATGCAAAGAATCTCATCGCCCATGGCTTACTTCGATCCGAGGAATTTGGATCCGGGCCAGGTGATTGTGCTGATTTAAGAAACTTCGACAGCATGTTGATAGATAGTTTTGTGCCCAGAGTAATTATCAGATGCAGAGGTGTCCTCTTCGAAAGTGATAGGAACGATATCCATGTGACTCCAAAAATAAGTCTCAAGATCCTTTTCGATAGCGGTCCAGAGAAAGAAATTTTGCAATTGGGCAAATGTATAAAGAGTTGGTGTAACTATAACATTCACACCTAACATATGAAGTCGAGTGTGATTTAGGAAAAAAGGATTTTGGAGGGAAAGACGACCAAATTCGTTGGATCTCATCGTACCGGTGTTTTCAACGACATATATATCTTCGGCTGGCCAACCTGAAGTTATCCAAGAGACGACCGTTTGCTGGAGTAATGGCCAATTCCTAGTGAAAGCAATGAAAAGGGGTGTTTTCTCTTTAACGTGGGGGGTCGGAGGTTTGTTCCATGGGGGAATAGGAGGTAAGTCGGCGGCGGAGCGAGCGTTCATTGCTAATGGGAAATTATCTTTGATCATCGGATTGAATTCTTGCTGTTGCTGGGCCTCTTGAGATGGAGTACTATTCTGTTCATTACTGTCTGCTTTTGGAGCCTGTGTCTGCTCCGAGGAAAAATGTTGTCTTGATTCCGAGGCCTCATTTTGAGCCGCCTGGGATTTGGATGAATCGGCGACTTCATGTGGCATATTTGTTGGTGTTGGTGAAGGGGTCGATACCGTTTGTGAATCCGTCGCTACCGCAACTTCAGGTGTTGTCGATGTCATCACTTCTTCCACTGAACTCGTCGTCGAACTCGTTGTCGTCACCCGTTCCCTCTCAACCTCAATCTCGTTATCGTGCAAAATCTCATTGTTTTTCTTAACCTGTTCCCAAACATCCTGCGGTATGATCATCTCCTCACCATAAACCACACTTTTTGGACTCCTTGGCAGGAAGAATTTCCATGTGTAACAAAACAACAAAATAACCCCAAACAGCACCAAAGTCCTCAATCTTTGAACCACCATTTTCTCAAATCTTCTTGCCTCCAAATCTCTCTACTATAATACGCCACGAATAATTAGAAAAGAATGAAAAAATTATGTAATCCAATGTCAAAATGAAAACATCGAAATTGGAATTGGAAAGTCATTATTCTATAAAAACCAAGGTTGGTTTCTTTTAATTCACAGCATAAGGTTGGGAAAGTCTACCCCGTACATTTTGCGTGGAACAAAGCACCGAATCCACCTAAGCCGGAGAGTGGAGTATTTGTAGTCGTACTACTTGTACGATATACAGACGGACAGATTGCTCGCCGAAGTAATAAGCGCTTTAAGCCCGTCTTTTCATCATTGTCTAACCTACTCCTACAAAATCCAATTAGGACAAGTATCTAGGTAGCGATATAAAATCTGCGGTATGTGCAACGAGTAAACATTGCGCATCCAAGATTTACATCATCAATGACTAGAAAATTACGATAGGCATCACCCAATAAAGTCTATCAGAACCTACACATGCAAGATATTGTTCCCATAGAACCATTTACATCCAACTGTACCTAGGTAGTTCTAGGTCCTTCCAGGCTGGCACCCTACAAATTCTAGGTTCTGTACCTGGCGCTAAGCGAGCCACGCAATCGCATCTCGCAAGCCCCTGGCGCTCCTCTAATTTTCAGGGTCACGAAACTGCCGCGAATATGTGGATACCGTACCACCCTAAAACTCCCTAAAATGTCAAGCCTATGATATGCGATGGCAAGCTTATGACAGGCTTGGCATAATATATGTGAGAAGCAACTCACGCTACTTTGTACCAATGCAACAGATGCAAGTGAAAAAGCAAGGTGAATCACTGAAGATATGCTCCACCTCCAGGAAAATTGGAAGCTCAAATTAGATTTCTCCGATGTGCGACTCTGTGATATGTGCTAGTGTGTGATCGTCGCTGGTCTGATTTTCATTGGAGTGCTGATCGATCGTTGGGATGAAACAGAGTATTTATTTGTGACGGGTGGATTGACGTTAGGAGGGAAAAGATAGACTGATTACGACATAGGTCTGTTTGTTTTAAACTGTAAAAGTAGTTATCGCGGGGATCGTTCATTGAAATCTAGAAAATATGATTCTTTTTCTTTTCTCTTCCAGGATGTGGGAAATGGTATCTTCGCTGCGCTATGCTATGATGTTTTCCTAATCTATCCCTTTTAAACCTTCTTCTAAAATTATAACTGTATACCCAATCAACAATTTACAGCCAAAGATTAATGGCTCTCAAACTCCACTGATATCACTATCCACTTCAAACATGATTTCTCGTTATTGTCATCTAAAAATTACTGGCTCTCCTTCCACCTTCGATATGTCTCATCCTCACCCTTTTTCGCGGGCTTCAACTTCCTCAACTTAACACCCCATCTCTTTCTCCACTTGTGCCCTGCCCTCTTTATCCTCTTCCGCGGATAGTTGACAGGACTTTCACCACCCGCAAATATTGCAGCATCATATAAGAACGCCCCGAAAATAGCACCCAGAATCGGCGCACACCAATTTCCCCAGATCCAATATACATCAGTGAAGAGATCTTCTCCATAGCCAAGTGCTAGGAGCGCAAGTCTTGGACCAAGATCTCGAGAGGGGTTCAAAGCAGCGCCAGTATTGTAACCAAAAGCCATACTGAGAACGACGATCACGAGTCCCATTACAAATGCTGACATACCAGCTCCTGGAGGTGCGTTCATGTCGTCTCCTAGTGCTAGGACTGCGACTGCTAGGATTGCAGTTCCGACGAATTCGGTGAAGAATGATGTACTAGCGTTAATCCAGGCATACCTGGGGTATGTAATAAAAGCTCCCATAGTATCGCCGGTTTTCAGGTTGGTCCCTCCATATTCGACGATGTTGGTTTGATAGAGACCGAATGCGATCAACGCTGCGATGAACGCTCCTAGTATCTGTGCGAGAACATACATTGGTACTTTGCGAAGAGGAAAACCTCGATATATCCAGAGCATTATGGAAATGGCCGGATTGAGATGAGCTCCGGAAATACCACCAGCAATGTAGATACCAAGCATTGATGCCAAACCCCAAGCCCAATCGGTAGTAGCTTCGTTTCCTGCAGGTGATGAATTTTTGCCTGATGTTACCACCACTAGATCCGCACAAAATCCGAGTGTAAGTTGGCAAGTGACCTAGAAACTTGTCAGCAAGGGAAAGAGTTTATTTTCAATGAAGAAGGACTCACGGCCAATAACTCCGCAAGTGGTTCTCGAAATCGTAATCGTATAACGGACCAGTGTGTATGAAGATTGTGAATCTCATCATCGTAATTGGGATCGTACGCTACCAACGGTATCTCTTGGCCAACCCATTCTCCATCTAGGTCATCCGGACCCGCAACTTCCGTTGTCACAGACCCTTGGTCATCATGGTCCGAAAGATTGGGGAAAGGCTCATTCTGCGAGTGTTGTGAATTCTGGGAGGGTCGACCATCAAAAGAGAGGGGAGGGCGTGTTGGAGGACGTTCTGGAGATGTCGTATCTGTGTTTGTTGGTTTATCGGCTAGGTCCTCTTCTTCAATGACCTGCGACGGAGCAGTCAATGGCTGCTGCTGCGATGTCGTACTTTGTAAATTTGTCGGCGAAACCAACCCATGTGCTTCCATGAGGTTGTTTTCACGTTGTTGTCTAGCATTTTGAAGTGCGGTTGAGATTCTGGACAATTTGAGGGTTGGTTCAATCCTACCTTGTTCTAAATCCAAATCCGCCTGGGTTTGAGGCTGCTGTTGCTGTTGCTGTTGCTGGGCCATATTGATTTCTGTGCGTGACGGAATCATACCTGGACGTACTACACGGGGTAAAGGCTTGGCCAAACCCCATACTGGCCTTACATTCTCGGGTTGAACATAAGCAGGATTTAGATGGGCGTACCCTGGGTCAACATAGGGCTGATTCTGCATCATGGTTTCAACCGGTGCAGGCCCAGCCAATGTAAAGTTATCTCCGCCTCCAACATCGGCTCCTGAGGTCACGGCTTCTAATGCAACAGTTGGTCTTCTTCGGATGGAGGCTCCTCGTTGACGACTTGTTGTGCTCATGCGTGGGCGAAGACCTGAGGCTTGAGTGCGATCGGAAACGCCACTAGGACGAGGTTCTCTCTCGGTAGTAGGAGGAACGGCTCCTCGCTCAGGAATAGAACGCATTCTATCACCGCTTTCTCCCGAAAGAATTGAGGTCCCCCTCCTTAAAACTTGTCTCCTTGAAGATAGATCATTATTTTGAGGCACCTGGCCAGTCAGAGTTCGTCCGCGTCTTCGAGTATCTGGTGAGAGTTGGTTCCGTCGTGTGGGTAGTGTATCAAATCTTTTCAGAGGCTTGACCCCCTGTTCTCCTGTAGATTGTGCTCGGCTGGATCCAGCTACTGGACTTAACTCACGTGGCGTCTCCTCTCTCGTACTAGGTAGGTTTGGTAGACTAGTCATTCCATGCTCATGTTCATTATGTTGTCCTCCTCCAGCCTCTATGCTGCTCGTGGGCTTGATCTCTTCGTCCGCCATGGTCTATTACCAATCAAGCTCACCACAGATGAAATTTCAACGTAACGAGTGATTATGCTGTGGCACTCGACTAATGTCGTAAATCGCAAACAAATAGAGTTTTATAACAATAACATTACTAATGAATGCAAAAAGCAGAAGAAAAAAAGGAAATCAAATGAATGCAGATCTGGAGATTGTACGAACCATATGATAATCCAATTTTGCACCGCGGACAGATTTTGGGCCGGCATTTAAACTTTTCACCAAGCTTTCCTGACGCCTCAGCGAGGATCCGCCGTAAATCCACAACTTTGTAGACCGAAAGGGCCTCGAGTGTTGTGAGAAAGGGGTCAAGCATCATCGCGAGCGATATTATTCCATGTGAAATTCCACTTTTCTGAGTATTTATGGAACGTTTATGAGCGAAATCTCGGGAGATTCAAGGAATACTGATGTTGTGAGGTGGTAGGTGGAGCTCTTATTTCGTCAGTCATCAAAACCAAAATGTTCTAGGTCACATATGGAATGGTGTTGTCAGGGGACTAGACAAAGATTGTCGAATCACGTGTTCAGATGTTATCTATTTTCGAGATTTGATCGGGAATTCGGAACTTTTGTAGAGGCATAAGGATTCAAAAAGCATCCAAAAGAAAATTTCAAATCTCAACGTCATTTTATTAGTGCTGAGGGTACTATCTATCTCGTTTCTACAATACCTATGGACGGGAATATTCTTCTAGGTCTCATTGTCCTAAAAGAAAAGAAAAACATATTTGACGCGTCTTCTACAGACAAGTCCTTCGTTTCCGAACTGTCCGAACTGGCGAGCAACCGACTGGCTAACAACTCGTTGGTGACCTGAATGTAGATTGTGCATATTGTGAAACATTGGACCTGCGTTAAACAATCCATTCTCGATCCAATCCAAGGCAAAATACCTCGTTACTCGTAACCTGTAGGATCATCACTCCACTCCGTATTTCCTCGTATTCCCGCCCGATAGAGCTCTTCAAGTCAAACCAACCGAGTCGCCAAATTTTCTCGACATTAATTGCGCCCCATAACTCCACGATCAAATGTCCATGGCCTACATCATAGATGCCCTCCAAGTTTTCACGAAACACCCACACTCTTACAGGCCTCTACCAAATCGGGTATCTCGTCAGCACTCTTACTCGCAGCACCCCATTTAATGGTCCCCATCTCATCTGTGGCCCAGCTTCCACCCACCACCCATCGATTCCCACTCGGATCAACCTCTCTTCCCCAATTCCCCTCCTGTTTCCCCAGTTTCTGTCGTGCAATCTCGGTCCATGGATTCAGCAAATGCCACGTCGTGCTTACTCCCAACCCCCAATTGGCATAGATTTCCCGATCTTCATCGACGACTACTTGAACTGACCATGCTCCCCCAACCTGCTGCACCCATTTATCCGTTGCTTCCTTGGAGTTGTGAGATATGGCAATGAAATGTAAGTTTTGATGTTTATTGGCTAAGCGACGGAGTTCAATGAAGGTCTTTTCTGCAACTGAATGGGAAAGGGTTAGCCTTGAGGCCAGTCTGATGCTCCAAATTTTGATAGATGAGAACGGATAACACGGCCCATTAAATCACAATACGACGACTAATAAGCAAACTCACAAGCACATCCACAGCACCTCAAAAATACGAGCACGCAAGCCTTTCCATCCCCCATGGGTAATATCAATTTCCCTGTGTTTGGCGCCTTCGTTCCCACTATCGGTGCAGGGGCAACTTCTACTATTGCCGGTGGTGGATTTCCCCATGATTTCCAACTCTTTGGGACATTGACCTCTGAAGTCATATTTGAGAAAGTGTCTCCCCATGTGGCATTGCTGTTTCCAGACTTAGGATTGATGGATTTCTGGTCGCCATTATCGAGATTTGTGATTGAAAAGTTGGAGAGAGTGTTTGACGGGAGACCTGCTTTTCGAAGGGCAATCTTGGTGGTGAGTTTACTGAACATAGTTTAGATTGATGAAGATGAGGCTGTGGTTGGGTGTCGTATAGTGGCTAACGACACTATCGTGGTTGTACAAAAATGATACAAACTGGATTAGAAATTACAAGTCAAGAATTGCATGAGGTAGATATACATCCATCCATAAACCTCGGCCAAATACAGACAAGTGCAAAGAACTCCTTCGTACAAACTCTCAGGCTTGCATGAAACTCCAAGTTGTCGCAGGTCCGCTCAGACCTGGGCGTGTTTGCGTTGATATAATGTCACGTGATATAACCATGTTGTTTCGTTCCTTCAAATTTGTTTATATTGACTTAGTTCATCCGAGGTTTGAAACTATTGGGAAGTACTTTTCAAGCCTACCTAGTCTTGAAAAGTGAGTTAACTCACTTAATTAGATGACTGTTCATTGTTCATTGTTACTAGTTTCGATTTATCATGCTTGGCTAGTCACCAACCAGCGTTGTAGCAGCGGTTTTGACGAAATTGGTTTCATCAGACTCACTTAAGTCTTAAGTCTATTGGATTGAAATAGTTTCTCTTCTCTTTACTAGAAATGTCACTTTCGACAATAAATCTAGAGCGTGTGCTTCGCCCATAAAGCCTGGAACAGAGAGCGGATGCTCCAGTGAAGGTGCTATGGTGAGACCATCAAGGTCATTAGAACGTTAATAGTACTATATGATTGTATCGATTAGCTGGCGAACAGGGCGCGAGCGCCTTCTCCCCCCAATTGTTGAAGCTCTACTTCAACTTCTTGTTCTCCCCTCCTCTTGCTTTCCATAATCTATACCTCCCAGCCACCTTGTAAAGATATCTGATAGCTACCTACACACACACTCGTGATTTTCATAAAGTATTCTATTGCGGCAGAATGGTATATAGTAATCCTCCATCATTGATAAGATTTCCATCAACGACTACATGAGCCAGAGCTTCCAAGCAAAACATTCAAGGTATATCTCAAATTTGCGACCTCAATCTGGCAGCATATAGGGTGATCTAATCACTTACAGTACTCCAATGACAAACATGATTGAAGCAATTCCAAACTTCCTTTTCCTCTCCATCTTCAAACCCCACAAGCTCCAAAGTGCAGCTCCCCAAAGCATGACTTCGTTCAAAAATGCGAATATTGTCGAGGTAGCAAGCCAAATATGCCAATACGAAGCACTAATTGACCCGAGACATCTATCAGAAGTTGGCATAAATGTGCGATTCGATTCCCCATCTTTGTTCACCAAACATGGCTTGCATATCATATCGAGCGATGCATGGATTGCCAACAGGAGGAATTGATTACACATGAAGATCAAGAAGGAGACGAAGGTAGAAAGTTTGAGTGGAAGATTTATACTGTCGAAATTGCGCACATAGCGGATGTAGATGAGAAATTTCAAGCCGAATATTGGACTAGTGATTGTTGTTACATAGTTGGCGGACTGAATCTTGTGTTAGCATGTAAGAACGATCATTTCTGAGTATTCAGTACAGGTATAGACACTGAAACTCTGTCTTGAAATAGATTGCACAATGAAAGTGAGTAACAAAAAATGCTTTGGGCCTTTGGCTTACCTGACTCCGGTTAATCATATCCTGTTCCTCATTGATGAGTTCTCTGAGTCAAATAAATGGTATATATTCGGACAAACCCATTACTATGGGCAGGAGAAACATCAATCATACCAATAGATAGAATGATTTATCTTGCCAATATGTATATACGTTAGAAATTTTTCTCTTTTCTCTTTACATGCCCCCAGCGGGTTCAAATAAGGGAAACATACAGTCACCTGATCCCATGTATATACAATTGCATTCAGTAGGAAAGCAGGCGTAAAGGATCAAGCTAGACAATACAATGATTGAAGGCGCTGCATATCCAATCATCTTTATAATTTGTTTATTCGTTGTATTTGGAAGGCTATGTGCTGAAACAATGTGGGAATCGCGAAAAGGTGTGAGCGAGCCTGGCGTATATGTAGGAAATTACATATGCTTTGGTGGGTGAGAAATGGGGGAAAAGATAGTAGGAAAGTTCATTTTCTTCTGGGAACCTCAAGGATTAAGTAAAAGATACAGAAGATGATAGTATATGCAAATGATGCAGTGATAGTGATCTAATTGGTCACTCTCTCCGGTGCATGCATGTAGTATCGAAACAGGATTTACTCACAAAAGATCGTGATATTCAGAACCCTCATGCGGCTCCGCTTGGTCGTGGCATACCAAACTGACTTTGAATCCTTTCTAACATGAAGTAAAGACAGAGAACATATTATTCGAGATTTAATGCTTTAGAGTCCACCATTCCAGTTTCAACAATTATAAACCACTAGTTGATTGTAGACACAGATTTATTTTGGTGTATTATGAAAAGCTACGACTAAACGGAGCCGCGTGCCTTTATATCTTTCAATGGAAAAATTATTCATAATTTCAAACAAAGTATCCGTATGTTTTAACCTTATATACTCTAATACACTCTCTCCTAAAATTAAAATTAAACTCAATAAACATTCAGTGCCTCTCTCAGATTCGCCATCCACATATGTGGCTGAGATAGTCCATCACTACTACCCGCATCAAAGTACTCCCATCCATTAACACCTCCAAAATTGGGATATTTGTTTCTCAAACTTTTGATCGTGTTCTTAAGCGTACTGATCGGGACCCATCCACTCGCATCATTTCTTGCAGCCGAAGCTAGCATTACTACTCTTGAGGGATCCCAGCCAGCGCTGACAATAGCGTCATAATCATTTGTGTTTCCTGTGGATCCCCAGCCATTGGTGAATTGAGCATTGTAAAACGATATCATCGGTGTGCCGGTATCTGGATCTCGTGCTTGGGCGTCGAGATCAGAATAAGAAAATCCCGAGAGACTTCCGCCGTGAGATAGAGCTGAAGCTACTGGTGACATAGTTATGTCAAATTCGGGACCCATGTCGGTGTAAAGCTGTTTGATTAGACGAAGAGCAACAGTGATATCCACGAATTGCTCAACGTCAATGTCTATACCATTGAGATTGTATTTCCTGATGAAATTATTGAGGAGAGGGTCGTAGTATTGGTGAAACTTGAGAAGCATTAGCAATGAATATAGAACAGAGATTATGGGGTGTCAAGCTACATCATCGTCATCTCCAGTAAAATAATTCCAAGTTCCCGGAGCAGCGCCACCCATCATACATGATACTCTTATCCCTGCTGTCTGAAGAGCCTTTACCTGATCCCATAACTCATCGTACATTGGAGCATCAGGAGGATCGTCATTCAAATGAATAACCCCTGGTGTGCTCATGACATGCAAGGCAGCGAGGATGACGTGGGTTGGTAGGATATCTTCACCCAATAGAGGTAAGAGAGATAGATTCCTGTCTTTGTTGTATTCCTCGTGGTAAGTTTGAACGTACACAGCGAGTCGTGGAGTTGTGGCTACATCATCACTGGTAGAGTTCTGAGCAGCTTGTGGGTCGATTGGAATCGCTTGAATTAGGGGCAAAAGTGAAACGGAAAGCAGATTAAGAAATTTCATCTTGAAGGCTGGGTGATATCATATCAAGCCATTCAATCAATCGAGGAAATCTTCAACCTTTAAGAACACCTTCATATTTACCAAGTGATACTTTTTGCAAACATGTTGGTTTAATTCCACAGTAATATTGAGCAAGGCTCGTGAGTGACCCCTGTGACTGGAACCATTCATTGGTATCTGTATATTGCCGGCTCTGTCGTTGTATAAGCGCGCAAGAAAACAGAAAGAAATCTATCCCCTCCATCGATAGAATGAATATTAAATATGAAAATCATCAAATGACTTCCGTAGGATACTTCCTATAGATTAAATCGCACAAATGGAGATTTGAATTGAGCCATGAGGAGAAAATCAGGTGTTACCAAGTCTTCCCTTGGTCATCAAAAGTTGCACCCGATGTCCAAATATCGAGGCATAACGACTGAATAAAGCAAACGAAGTGAACAGCATGACTGACTAAGCCGAGCTGTTTCCACAAGATCCCCCGAGACTAAAAAGCATGTGTGAGATAAGGTTGCATTTTCGGGGTTCTGGGCGTTATTTGAGGCCAGCGCTTGCTAGGTGGATACTACCTTGCCCTCCTTACTCTTTTGGGACGGTACAAAAAGTTCGCGCTTGAGAGAAATGCACGAGAGTGCACAAACTAGTCTCATGCTTCTGTCGCATGTTGGAGATCGCTCGTTGGAAAAGACTGTTTTTGATAGGGTTTTGATAGTTGCACCGCCTGATATACACTTTTAGGAAGAATGATCGCTTTTTCGGGATGTACTATCATAGGAAATGCTTGGCAAGGCGCTCATGTGTTGCCTTTGTCTCTTATTACAACGACACTAGGGCACAGATCCAATTTAATAGCACAAAAACGAAATAATGGAAAGATCTAACACGTTGGTATTGAGGTCCCAGAGCAAACAGTTGCTAGAATGGGAGAACTTGAGCTTGTCGTCAGAGGGGCTTTCATTGGGGATAGGGGGTTGCTCATCATCAGAACATTCAAAAACTGCAACCATCGGCTAATGTCATGAATGAATGGAGTTGGTCTTGATCGCTCGAATGAACCGTAAGTTGACAATGAAAGGTGCCAACACATTTCATCTTGTCTCGCAAATACCGTCCGATAATCGCTACAACCAACGGTGACAATGCAACAAAAATGGTCCTTCTCATGGTACGAGTCTGCCATGGACAGCTTGATAGATTATCAGAAAGAATAAATTGCATGAACATGAGATTTTATCCTTTGATAGGTGGATATGGCGAAGAGGAAGAAAGAGAAAAAGAATGATCTCCGTAAACTACCCAACGCTAAAGCTTCGACCAAGCTTCCCGCATCACAACTACAATCGACTACGTCAAGAACTACATTAGGACTTTTATATCAAAAAGTATTTGATCCAAGACAACCTCCGATTTTTATTTTTGGACTTTTCAATTCTGCATATTTACCTTTGATTCCTGAATCCAATATCAAAATGTCAATTGATAACGCAAAAGTCTTAAAAACAGAGCCATTGGTAGAGTATTCCCTTCATATATTCCGAATGCCTAAAACCATTGAAATTCTGACTCCATAGCAGGACCCTGCCAGAGCAAAATGGACAAAACTCGTGTTGTACGTGTTGATCTGCTTAATCTAAGCTGCCAGAACTATTGTAGCTGATACATTTACAAACATTCAGATCAACGTATCGCGATCCTCGAGGAAAAGTTCGTGATTGGGAACATGCGGAACGATCTACTCGACCGAAGTCATCTGAGATAGACGGTGTTGGAATTGTTGCCATAATTCAGAAAGAGACCGGTATGTAAGGACATCTGGATCAAACTACACTTGAGTAAAAATAAAAATGTTAATACCAGTGGAACTCAGGCCCGGAATTAGTTTTACAGAAGCAATACCGACCACCGTTGGATAAAGTAGTGATCGAAGTACCCGCCGGACTTATCGATGAGGGGGAAACTGCAGAAGAAGCAGCTTTAAGAGAATTGAAAGAAGAGACTGGTTATGTTGGAGTCTTGAGTGAGAGTACACCCATAATGTTTAATGGTAACCCCCTCATAGTTTGCTGTCACTCACATAGAAATCCCCACTAATATATGTCCTCACAGATCCTGGATTCTGCAATACAAACCTCAAAATGGTGCATGTTACGGTTGATATGTCTAATCCAGCCAACCAGAATCTAGTGCCCGAACTCGAAGAGAACGAATTTATTGAAGTATTCACTTTACCTCTGAAGGATTTATGGGAGACGTGTAAAAAATGGGAGAAAGAAGGATATGCGATAGACGCCCGGGTAGGAACTTTGGCTGAGGGAATTGAAGTTGCCAGGACGCTGAATTTATGTTCAAAATAAAGTACGAGCACGATATTATGATAGATAGATGAATATAATAATAACGTCCTGTACATGTAGTGTAACATGCGTAGGAATGCTGCTCAGGTCCACGGGTATTCAAGGAAATGTCATTTAATTCGGAAGCTATTATTTCGTGCATGTGATTCTGAAGTTTCATAGCTTTCCTGTTCGCTTTAATCCATCATAGAGAGCCCAAGCGGTCAAAGCCTTACTGTCCCTTGCGCCCTCCTTCCACAAATCCTCCAGTTTCACCAGTTTAAGTGTAATCTTCTCGCCCTCGTCTCTCAACCCCGTAAGCTTCCCTGTGGTCTCCTTCAACTCCTCTCTTGAGATCTTCTTCTCATGCAAGAAGACTTGGATATACTCATCACAGCCCCCGGCACTAGGAAACATTGCCCTCGGTAACACTTCTCCCTCTTTGTTCGCTCCATCACCAATAGCCAGTTCGCTCAAGTTGGTCAATTGATCTGCCGGTATTGTCCAGCCCAGCTCCTCTTCAATTTCCTTCGCAGCTGCACCTTTGAACGTTCCATCATCAACCATGCCGGCTGGTAATTCAATAAATGCTAAACTCCCTGAAGCAGGTCGAGGTTGAACAGTCATCACAACCCATCTTTCCTCGTCAGGTTTTTTTGCGTCTTCGGGTTGAACAATGACCATCATTCCAACACTTGGGCCTCTAAGGAAGATGTCCCCGGGCAGAGACTCGCCTGCTTCATTTGTGATTTTACTGCTGATCTTGATAAAACCGATGCGCTTGCCCCAGCGGTCGAGTGATTGGATTTTAACAGAGCGGAGCTGATAGGGATCGGAATGGAAGGGATGATCAGAGGATTTGCCTTGTAGAGCGAGAGATTCAGTTAGGCGATTATGCCATGACTGTGAAGGAAGATAATGTTAGTAAATATCGCAGGGAGGAGTAATGGAAAGAGGAGGACAGTGATGTATACTTTAAAGGCTGGAAAACTCAATAGTTCATCCTTGGTGATACCTTCACAAAGTGTAACCTCTACGTTACTGTCTTGAATTTGAAAGGTAGACATTCTGATAGCAGTAGTTCGGTATCCTCTATGATAGAATCTAGAGAACGGTGGAAATAGCCTTGTGAGGATGAGTGATGTAATTGAGGATTTCAAGGTGGTTTTATGCATACGGAGTACAACCTTTGTACTTTATAGCTACTAGTAGTACGGATGTAAACCGATCCATTACTACAAAATTTGCCGAACATATTGGGTGAAATGGAATAATCGATGATGCCCAAGCAAGGAAAAGAGGTAGTAGAATTGATGTACCTCATAGGTGGTAGGGAGGTCCACGGGTAGCCTTGCAGCCTCCCCATGCGCCACCGAGGCTGTGGCTGTGCCGTGACCTAACATCCCCGCCATGGATGACCTCGGATCCCGTCCTCTTCAATTAATATTCTACCTTCATACTACCTAGGTACCTATAGCAGCTACACAGCATTTCCATATCATATTAATACTACTTTGTGTCTTATAGCGCTATCATATTGATGCCAGGACTCAAAATATACAGCAAAACTAAATCCAATAATGATTGGATAACCATCGCCTCCCTCACACCTACACACACTGTGAAAATTCCGCAACTCCTCAATGTTCCCAACTATTGGACCCACCAGCCTCGCCCCTTCAATCGTGCGGTCATAGTATGGCCAAGTCCAACGATGAAGGGGTGGCCTTCGCTTGTATTACCTCAGTGCCATAGTTGGCCACTTGTTGGTTTAATATCGTTGCCGCGTGGGCCAACATTAATTCCTATTATTATAGTAGCTGCTTCGCTTTTTAAAAGCCAATTCCGAGAGCTCAAGCGCGGAAGCCAGATGATATGATGTAGTTCAGGTTTGATTTAAGACCGGAGGATTGATTTTTTTGTGATTCGAGGCTGAAGCTCCCAAGACAACAGTTGCTGATGTTGGTGCATCGCAATGTAGTTTGAAGGCGGCATGGGCGGCGCAAGTGTCTCATCTTATCATAAACACACCTTAATCTTCCATTTTCTTTCTTTATTTTCTTAGGTTTGGTTGTTTTATTCATTTTCATTCTAGCAAATTTGCTGTATTTCATAATGGCTGCATCACAGACTTCAAAGTCACGAGCAGTATCATTGGTTTTAGCATCACTCTTTATTCCTCTTGCATCAGCAGGTTCTAATGCAATATCTCTTCAATGGTCAGACAGAAGTTATGGCCCTGACGGACCATGGCAAGCAGTTTCTATTGATATCGGCACACCCACTCAAGCTATTGACCTCCTTCCAGGTGGGACATGGACAGCTAATATCCTAAGCACTTCAATTTGTTCTAATTCTTCAGGTTGCTCATCATCGAAAGCTGGACTTTTTGATAGGCATGCTTCCACTTCCTACACTCAAATCAATAATACTGGTGTCATTGCCAATACTACATTCGCAAACCGGGCCGGTGCATTACCCAATTTATCTGGCACCGCTTACATAGGACTTGATACCTTGACAATTTCCAATGGAACCGAAAGCAACACTATCGAGAACTTTGAACTGCTTGTCATTGAGAATGCTGTCCAAACTTTATCAAATGGAACAGCGTACGCACCTCAAGTCGGGACCCTTGCCCTAGGTGCCCCAGCCATTAATCAGACACTCTCTTCAAATATTACCGGGCAGTTTCTCTCCTCTGGTTTATACTCCCAGGCTAGGATTCCGTCGAATTCGTTTGGATTGCACATTGGCTCTGCTTCGGTGGGTATTCCTGGAAGTTTGGTACTTGGTGGATACGATCAATCTCGAGTTTTGGCGCCTGTCACTACGCAAAAGGGCTACAATGGTACATTTTCTATGTCACTAGTTGACATTTCAATCGGTACTATTGATGGATACTCTCCTTTGAACTTCAATACCACTAAATCTGGACTTCTCTTCAATAATGCAACTTTCGCCGCATCTAATGGCTCACTAGCAGTGAACGTCGATCCTTCAGTTCCACATCTCTACCTCCCGACATCAACTTGCGACATACTTGCCTCTTTCCTCCCCATAACATACAACGAAAATCTAGACCTTTACCTCTGGAACACTACATCTCCACTCTACAAGCCCATTATCTCATCGCCTACCTACCTCGCCTTCACATTCTCCAACCCAGACTCAGACAATCAGAATACTCAAACCTCGATCAAAATTCCCTTCTCCCTCCTTTCACTTTCGTTAACATCCCCCCTATCTAACACTTCTGATTCCGTTCCCTATTTCCCCTGCCAACCATCCTCACTCCCCTCCGGCTCTTGGGCTCTCGGCCGTGCATTTCTCCAAGCTGCTTTCTTAGGAACCATCTGGACTGACTCATCCAATATCTCTTCTTCCCAAAACACTGGATTTTTCCTAGCTCAAGCGCCGGGTCCTGATGTTCCCGATGAGGAATTAGTTAACCTTCAGCCTGATTCTACTTCCCTCGATACCTCAACAACCACATGGAAAGACACCTGGTCGTCTCATTGGATGCCCCTCACCACCCCTATAGATCTTTCCTCGCCCCAGTCCCCCACCTCATCGTCTTCATCTTCGTCTTCTAGCACAGGACTACCTACTGCGCAGATGATAGGAATCTCCGTTGGTAGCGCCACGGTTTTTATTTTTATTTTGTCAGTAATTTTCTGGATTTGTAAACGCAAGGCCAACATAGCGCGAGCAAACAAAGAAAAAGAAAAGGAAGAGGCGATTTCACGGGAAATGGAAAAGAAAGAGAGGGAGAGACAGGGTATCGACTTGGGCTGGATTAAGTTGGAAGATGATCCTTGACTTATGCAATGGACTTGTACGAGGGAATATAATAGAAATATAATAGGAGTTTTAGGTTTAGCATTGAGATTACGATACCGTCATTATAATAAAGCTGGTTTGTGTTTGACTGCAGACCATATCTTCTCAGCTGTTCGGTTGCATGTCAATCAGTGTGTGGTGCTAGCCAAAGTAGAACTTATGAGATGCAGAGTGCTTTATTTACATGGTTGGTGATACGTTTCAACCTTATAAGATTGTAATTTTGCATTTTATACATTCATCTTCCCATCCACGCCTCCCCACTCGATATTAGATAGAGCATCCCAGCGACAAGTGCTTGATAAAACCTACCACGGCACAGCCTTTGGTCCCGTAACATCCCGCCACTGCCCATCCGTCTTCACTTGTTCCTTCCTCGTCTCCCTATCCTCTCTTTCAAGCCTATCCGCCTCCTCCTCAACTTTCCTCTCCCACCTCTTCCCCATCTTCGTCTTACTAAACCCCCATTTCCCTACCCACCACAAACTGCTCATTCCCAAAACTCCTATTACTCCTGTAGGCGCAACAACCCATCCTATCCCCGTCGCAAAACTTCCAATGGTAGTAGCAGATAGCGCTGCGACGATAGAACCCACAGCTGCGTACTTGGCATATCGAATAACACGCCAGAATATAAAGACAGTTATGGAGTGAAGAGCCCGAAGAAGAGCGCGGGTACGAAATCGAACGGGTTTTGGGGAGGTAGGAGAGCCGGGAGAGATAAGGTATTGGATGTTTTGGGTGATAGAGGTGAGAGCGCTGGAACTGCGAAGTTGAGCTGTTCGTTCTGTTGCAGTGAGGGACTGAGATTGAGGTGAGGTAGATGGGGATGTAGTTTCATCAATCATATTACCCCTTGAAGGCGACATGCTTGCGGTTATTTCATAGGGGTGTTCTTTTGTTGATTGTATCTACATTTAAAATGCAGCCTTTTGTCGGGCGTACAAACAAATTATTTGTGCTACGTCATTGATGGTTAGGTTGGTGGTCTGTGCGTTCGCGACTTCCTTCCTTAACCTTACCTCAATCCTTCTTACTCTACATGCTCCTTGTGATATAATATCTCATAATTACCAGGATCTGTTTATTGATCTGCATGATATGAATTCTCCGACAATGCAAGCAAGACTGAGTATCACAAACCAGTGCGAGTACAGGCTGGAAGATTCTTCAAATCCAAGAGTCTATAGCTAGGAAGATGAGACCACCGGCTGCGGTCAACGATGGAAATGGCGGAAATCTGTTTGAACTACGCGGCGTGTATAGTATCCAATGAAGGAAAAATCTGTTGCTATTATGCTGTCTTTACTCCACGGAAAATGCAGGTTAGAGAAGACTGGGCGGTTGACAAATCGCCATCTACTTGTCTTATGAGCTTTGAAGAGCGCTGCATTAACTTTCAGTTGATTCTCGCAAAGCTTGTTGAGCTGTCGTATACCAATGTCCGGACCTTCGAACTCTGTAAAGCTCTAGACCATTGTGAGTCCTACACGATCGCATACATCAGACGAAAGGGAGCCAAGAAACGAGACATGCGGAGCACTGACAAGAAGAAGGCCGCTGGTAGAACTTGATGAAAGACGATGCGGAGCACTGAAAAGAAAAAGGCCGCTGGTAGAACTTGATGAAAGACGGACTATGTATCCATGTTTTAACAAACAATGAGAAACGGGGCATTCTTGCTCGGTATGAGACTTCGAGTTTGAGGAACTGCATCTTTCTTTATGCTCTTGTTTCCGTGTGGTCTCATATGCGTACACAGAATTGCGAGGAAACTATTTACGGATTATAGTTGGACTGCGGCCATGACTGCATTCCCAACAATACGGTTGTTGGTTGACATTACGACCGTGATTTGCAGTACGGTTCATGACACCAAGGCTATATAATCACCTTTTAAACTTTCAGGATATCTTACTTAAATCATATGCAAAGTACAATGAAAGACGTTATTCTTGCCAGCACAAAGATGTCTGAAGCCGATCATTCAAATCGCAGGCCACAGCAAAACTCAGAGCATACCAACAAAAACACAGGCTCGGACGTCTCACAAATGCCTCCAAAGAATGATAGTTTACATCGGCTAACCCAAAGCTCACGGTCAAGCGAACAATTCCTCTTGAGGTCTCGGGAGCGTGAAGTCGAACAAGCCCACGAGGAAAATTTGACAGGGTGTATGTGCCTCGTTCTCGCAAAAGTTCCGCATTTTCAATGGTCAAAGTATTAATTTCTGGTTCTCCATTCATGCATTTGCTAAATTTTGCAAGAAAAAAAGAACAAAGGCTGGCGGGGGATCAATTTGCATACGATCTCTGGCATAGACCACGGGAGGAACTCGACGAATCACCGGTACAAAAGGGATGTCCCTGTTGTAAAAGTTTTTGCAAATGCCCTAGGGCATGGAAACGGTGGCTTGGATTGGGTGGCAATTGAGAATTTTTGCTGGTTATAGTACCTATTTATACTGTTTCCAATAGCATGGTAAATCACAAAGCAACTACTTGAGATTGATCTTGAGAGGCGGAGCGGCGGAGCGGAAAAGTGTGCGTTACGCGGAACAGCTACGTACTTGAGGATTGGCCCAAGCAATACACTCGGAAGAAATTGTCAAATACACATACAATGCTCGTCTAACTTGGGCGTCATGCATGGTGTGAATACAGTTTATTCCTAAATTTAGCACTCCAGTATGATAGATTGATAGTTGATAGAAATCAACTATGTGGAAAAAAGATGATCGGAGATCAACCGCCAGGTGAACACAGTCAAAATAACTTGAAACCTGTACCCTGTGCGTTGTTATTTGTACAGCACGCATACAATTCACATCTCATCAGGAGCCAATTAACGGCTCGGTACCCAAGCCTTTTTACACTCTAGTCCAATCACCGTTTACCCACTGGGTCCCTTTCTTTAGCGAGTGGACCACGTATATAAACAGCATCCCCTTGCAACAAAATCGCCTGGAAAACTGAAACTGCGCAACAACAATTTCGACACAATGCATTCTTCTCAGCTATCCATGGTCAATCACTCAAGTGTTAAATCATGACGCATACAACTCATAAATTCCACGATGTTCGCTCTCAGATTCAGAAGTGCGGGGAAAGAACACCTGACAGGCAAGGGATGCACGGAACTTATTCACATATTTTCCCCGCACATGATTTACCACCACCTTGACAATCCACTCATCCCATGGGCATGATTTCAGGAGTCAACCATTTTGCGACAGCAACGACGACGACGATATGGCGAAATCATGACACGAGGATGGGATTCAAGGAGCTCCGGAGAGCGTCGCCATGTTCATCGCTACGCCAGCTGTACATCGAATCTCAGCGCGGGAACTGCGGAGATAGGTATACACCAACTTTACGTCGTGTCAAGAGTTTTTACAATCCACCTAAGGACTTTGCGCTTGTTTTTTCAATGTCGCTTTTGAATCATAAAGATTCGATGGTCGAGGTAAAAATTGATACGTCAAATTTCGTGATTACAGTTGAGATACCATTGCGAATACACAATCCTTACCAGTCAGTGCCGATGGGGAAAATTCTAGAAAGGGAGGAATTAGAGTGTCCGGAATGCGGTAGAGAATTTATGGGGGAGTACGGAGTGGAGGATCTGGCGTGGCATTTCAATAATGTGCATTGGAAGAGGAGGGTTGAGAGAAAAAAATGCTTGAGTATGGGTTAGGAGACTGGTAAAACAAATCGACTATTGCAAAAAGTTATAGAACCATGGATTCCAGAATACCTTGGATCGAGATTGACATTGATAATCAGAGTTTCTTTACGATTTCTACTATCCGGAACCATGACCTTTAGAGTCAGTCTACTTCTCCCCACAAGAATAGAAGGCACGAACGTTCGTCCTTCGCACCTGTCATCAATGAAAGTAATTCAGAAACGCTGACTTTCCGCCCTAAATCCGTTCACTTCACACCAGCTCAAACGTATGCATATTGACTACATTAATATAGTTTTAATAGTTTGAGCTCGATTGTATTACTTTGGATATCGAATATTGAGCAGTGTATCCTTTCTTACACAAAAATACCGCTCCTTGAGAGACATGGATCTTGCCGAAGACAGCCCATATACGACCATGGACGGGAATGTCGCATCTGCTCCTGCTGAAAAAGAAATGCAGCATCGGTCAAATTCTGGTGGAATGATGGATGGTATTATGGGTAAAGATAGGCTAGATGAAGATGTCTCTGAAGAACGATGCAGCCGTTCAGGCTGTCCCAGTCGATTCAAAAAAGACGGTTTCAGTTGCAAGGAATGCCAGTCGCAGATATATTGCAGTATGTATTTCTGTGATTAGCCAAACACCGAAAACTGAACATCTTTAGGTAACGTATGCGCAGAGAGGCATTGGCCGGAACACAAACTTACTTGCGAGTGTCTTAATTATGTTCCGAGCATCGACATGTGTCTCGAGAGATATCGCAACAATCGGCCTGGTTGTATCATATCCTGTCCAGCAAGAGCCACCTTTGAGGACTTTCACCAAGCACTCAGCATCTCCTTGCCTTGTCTTGAACCTATATACCGCTTTTACATCTTTGACAGGGGCCAGATAAATGCTGCGATTAGCCATTATCCACGACCTGAAAAGATTATTACGAGACCGGGATCAAACTCTAGTGTATTAGATCATCGCCCTGATCTACGACCATTACTAGAAGACAGTCAACGGATATTCCTTATTGATGTTTTATGCAAACATCCATATGAACAGAGCCAAAAGATTATTCATTACATATGTCATAACCGCAGAATTCAGAAGACCTGGCAGTATATGACCTTATTCATGGACAGAGCACCAATTTCTCCATTTCTGCTTATGTGGAGTGGTGCCTTTCGATGTATAGAGGATTATGGCAAAGGCCAAAATTTTATGACCTTGAGACTTGCATATGAAGCTTCTGAACCGACACAAGAACAGAGAGAATTGCTCTCTTGGTACGAATCAATCGAAGACTCGAAGGCTACCAGAGAAGGAATCAACCAAACTCTGAGCCGTATCCGAACTTCCACTCGTCCCTCTTATACCCATTCTTCCCATACCGAAGCAGAAGGCTTTTACTAGTTGCAAATTATGATTTGATCCAGAACAAATGGAAGAGAAGTATTAAAGTTTCAATTTAACTTGGTGAGGAGGGGGCGAGAGAAAGACTATGCAAATTAAGCCTGTGACGGTGATAGGTACAAGGTCTATTATGTATGTATAGTATATGCAAACTTCAGAGGAGTAAGAGCATTTGGCATGAGTCAATACACACAACTCAATAAAATGATTCTATCCCATTATTACGTCTCGCTTTAAATCTTGCCTCGAAAGTGGATTACTGGTTGTTTGATTGTCCACTTGGTAATTCAACATCGCCAAATCTCATCAGAGCTGTAGAGCGGGGTTGGTGAGGACGTTATATATCCTAAGGGCAGGATAAGATTTACGGCAGAAACACGTGGACGTCAAGTTCAAGTTCAAGTTCAATCCTCCACGGGAACACGTGGAAATTCTCAGATATGGACATTGCTTTGCACTCATAAATCATCACTAACATGCTTCGAGATGGTCTCGAGTATGATAAACGATGACGAGAAACGGAAACAATATTTAATTGAATTTTAACCTCTAGTTTGCGAACGGAATTTTTTTTGTGAGTACCTGATCAAACTGGAATCTCGATGGTATTATTTTCAACATGTTCCTCCATATACCTCCTCTTCCACTCTTCGATCAAGCCAGAAGCTCGTTTCCAATCATTCATATTGAACTATTGTAAATGGAGGAGTCAGTATTGTCTACCAAAGGAAGATCTTGGAGTAAAATGAGCTTTGAATGATAAATGTTGTCTTGCAACCTTCATCATCTACCAGCGAGCAAAATCGGTGCGAAAAATAGTAAATATCATCAACTGCTTACGTACCGTTGCTTCTTACTCATTGTATGAGATGGGAACGTTAATAGTGGTTGAAGAACTTTTCTTTTTCTGCGTTTCAACCATTTCTGAAGTAATCTCGAATAGAGAGGTACGAATGACTGATTAAATAGATTATTACAGCGGTTGCTAGAAGCCAGTGAGAGCTCTATTTAACTTACATGAACGAATGCTTTCTGTACGTGGTGAGTATTCGTATCGCTGTAAAATTGAGTATTGCTGAACGTTGTCACTAACTTGAGACCGGGTCTCGACTGCCTTCGTGAGAACCTTGAAGACGTTCTCCAAATCGCCGGATCCACTGGCGGGAAAAGAGACGAATCCCTCTAAAAATTGGTCCGCGAGAGCGTCATGGAAATTTTTGGAGGATACACTGATGCTTTTGTTCTTGGTCTCACTCTTGGATGACGATAGCCTAGTTGGTCAATAAGGACAGGTGTTTCACAACAATGAAAGCTACAAGAGGGGGTTCCCTCACCAAGGAGCATTCTTTAAATCATAATCGGCCACTCGAGCGAAGTAGCCAACCCGCTTTGCAGCCGATGCTACGGATTCATCCTGAGGCACACTGGTACTGGCATATGTGGTGTTGCAACATCTGAGACTGGCCCAGCTACGATATTCCAACACGGCTTTCTTATAGTCGATCAAAAGCTCATGAGCTGCCTCTGGGATAATCTGAGGAAAGCCGATGTATTGAACGGAAGTTCCAACTTCCTGATCTTTTTTGACTTTTTCGAGAGTCTCATCTGGGTCTCTATCCTCACCAGATTGTAGATTACCAGGGTTTAAGGGACTAACTAGTAGAATAATGGGATTCTTTGCGGTAAAAGCTGAAGACATGATGCTGGTAATGATACTTGGCGATAATGATGTTTGATTGGCTTCTGTAGTGAAAATTAAGAGCGAGGATATTAGGCTGTTGCTTGCTTGCAAAGATCAATCTTTAAGTTGGAAGTGCCAGCATTTATATTCCACGTTCGATGTACCATCCGATTAGCGAAGAATTGATGGCAATCCTCCATACAGCTAGACACAGAATCAAGAAGGGTGGCTGCACTTCATGACTGCACAGTGCATGGAAAAAAGAAAATTAAATTTTTCTCAGTCAACAAATAATAAATGTTGTGTTGCATACTGGATCTTCAAAATGAGGGGTAGGTCCAATCAAAAACAACCATATGAAATTCTCATCACTCGAACATGCTTGACGTGGGTCTGGCTGATATCCTGAAAAATGTGTCATTAAACTAAGCAAAAGTTATGTTCAAAATTCAACATTAATTCAATCTTAACTAAAAATCGTATCAGAGATTTCGCTACTAATAACATTCTAGATTCAATTTTGAGGTTTCTTCTCAAAAGTTTCTCTGGTAATTTTGATGAAGTCCGTTTATATCACTGAGCCCTCATCAGAAACATGTCCGAGAAGATACATGGAAGTTTATTTGATCTAGATCTATACTTGGCATTAATCAGCTGCCAGAAGAAGGCTAAGATTAATTGGTAAACATGTGCATGACATGCATGAAATTCGTGGCAAGATGTGGGGGTTAGCTGTGTTACGAGACCCCGTACTCGATACAATGTTGACCTTATTTAGAATTTGCGACGCCAATGTTCAGCTGCGCGATTCAGGGTTCGGTCATAAACGTCGTATCGAATGTAGACTTTCTCAAATGGCGGTTGGCATTGCATGAATGATATCGCGTTTGTCTATTATATGATATCATAAGGTGATACTTGAAATGGCTGTTGGAACTCTGGCGAGATCTAGTCTGTTGAAAAAAACAATTCAAACAGGAATACACCAATGGGTATCACGCTAAATTTATGAACCTCTATGCCTAAATTTAAACGCAGACAACTTGATGCAGTGCACACACGCTATATAAATTATCTGTCAATGAATATGACATTGGGGGAAAAGCCTTGCTCGAAGAGAATAGCTAGGCTTCTCATAAATTTGAGTAGATATAATGATACTATTCATTGAATTTTTAATGTGGCAGTATGCCACAGGCAGAGTGAAAGAGGGATTAGGCGGTATCGTGATTTAGACTATCTAATCTACATCTTCCTATCTGCAACTACAGACCTTTCGGCATGCATGGTGGAAAGTAAACAACAAACATCAGATTGAAACCCCAGGAGGTCAGCAAACACAAGCGCTGCACTGAAGATGAATAGATTCCCTACAAGATGCAAGCCATCCCAAACTCCGTTCATCGAACAAACTTGCTGCTAGGGCATCCGGATTACTTCAATACAAGCATTCAATTAGAGCCAGAACTCCCACACAAGGTGTTCCCTGACAGTAAAGCGAGAGCATACGAGGGGACAAGAAAGGTTGTCAAACAAGCACTAAGCAACAACAACACCTAATCTGTCTTCTTCACCGGCCAAATTATCAAAGGTTAGAGGGAGCGCATGCTAGACAGTCCTAATGCAAATAACAACTGTGCCTCCACCAGGGTGGTAACACCGTACACGAAAAGGTCAACAAAAGCAACTTGTCTCAGAGTGATGAACGCCGGCGCGAACGCAGTTTATATCGAGCAAGTCTCTTTGATTTTTTGCTTCCGGGATTCTTATGGTAAGCCTTCATATTTGAATTGGGGGGAAATTCAAACTAATAGTCTTTCCAGATTCGTGGACGATGGCGGGGAAGGAGTCAACTGCCAAGATATCTTCTCGTCACCAACTATCATGATGGTGAAGCGACTGTGCAGGAAAAGATCTATAAGGCTCTACCAATTTCACTTATGCAGATGGCATATCGGAAAGATTAGAGGGAAGTGCCGAGACTATTGCTGAGATGTTCACCATCACCAGGGAATCAGACCTTGCCACTAAGCGGTTCTAGGATCACCAATGGGAAAGATAGCGACACTATCTTCGACCCAAATGCGTATTCAATCACCGGTCCTTGTCCTCAACCGCTTCAACGGCTTTTTAGCTCTTGAGGCCCATTGATCTGTGTTTGACGGTACTGTTCGAACTCGGAAATGTTAGACCGACATTTGTACTACTTGTACTCCTACTGCCACATGTACTGACATTTATCATTGAGAGCTGAGGGTTGCGAATTGAAATCTCGAAGAAGAAGAAAAAAATGCATATATATAATTATGATAATAATAATACCAATGCTTGCCATTGCCAAGTTTCGTCAAAAATGGTTTCGATCAAATAACGGCAAACGTGATATTAGCAGTCTAGAGTAGCCAGGTACCGAGACCAATTGACTAGAGAAAGGTTTCGCATCGTTTAAGATTCAAAACAGACTCTGTCAACCCAAAATAATAGTGAATATCTATAGTGACGGCCCAGGATCCCAGATTCAATGAACTCCCGTTTAAACTGATTGCAGAACGAGATACTACCCGCTGTAGTCAGACAATCAGATAGCATGCCATTCTTATTAGCTAGAAAGAGAGGACTTTATGGATGACATGATCTTGTAGATATTGGACGTGCTGAGATTGTACAAAAATCCTAGAAGCTTTTATAAGATTTAGGGTAGTTTTTTGAAGCAATGTATTACGAAAGATTCTCTTCTATCAAAGCTTTGAAACAGAACCGATTTTGGGGGAATTTTCTCGCAGGCGAAAATCGAAAACAGGGACTCGGATATAAGGAATTCCGATTGGTTGAAAATACGATTTGACAAACGAGGTCTAGCCAACACAAATGTAAGCGACGTTCCGATCTCATCACGTGCTGAGCAGAACGGCTCGGATTCGTTTACCGAGCTTGTTGATAGGTTGAGATAAGAGAAAGAACGGATACTTATAACCGCTTAGATGTGAGAAATGAAATTTGCTGGCCGAGCTGCCTAGCAAGCCCGACAAGGCGAAACATGAAGTCTTTATTTTGATTCATGCCTTGTAACGACGTGTAACGGTTGATATTTGGAGGTGCAAAATAGCTTTATAATAGCTGATCATCAGCTTTAAAAAAACTCTGAAGCACTTTCTTTCGCTGAGACTCTTCTTCAAATCTGAATGAGAGAAGACTCTACAACTCCAACAAAAAACAGAGACGGAGTAGATGCCGCTATTCCCATTGCGCTAGTCAGTACTGAGTAAGACTTGACGATCGGACCTAGGCTGCTCCGAAATCCCATCTCATTCCTCCACTTACAAACATGGGCTTGTTCCCTCAACAAAGCGACTGCAGCGCTGTCTACAATCCAATTAATATATAGAAATGCTGACAATTCCCACGTAAGTTTCTTCTCTCTTTTACCGTCTTTCTGCCAATTTAAGGTAAATTCATCTCTTTCACACATCTGATATCATTTTTGCCTACAAACGGAAACGGGAAACGTTTTCACGCCGTGTAAGATTTTCTTACACATCACTTTCGCCGCACCCTTACGTCTTACTTTTTCCCTCGTATATCATATTTTCAGCCTTCACTTGCCGAGTCAGTCTCTGGACACTCTTTATCTTCTGGATTTCTATTATCTCATAAACTGAGGGACAACCTTTATCGACACTTTATTCTCACATCATCGCCACCATGAATTCCCTTCTTATGCTTCTCCCTCGAAATAAACTGGATAGATTCGCGGATTGCACAGTCGACACATGTCCGATCTCTACATCCTATTATTTCTATCGTGTATCAATCGGCGCAAATGCGGCTTTTCTCGCTCTTTTTAGCATTTCATTCCTTGGATTTGTCTTTACATATGCATTCACTCGTCGCGCAACCGCCTTCACATTCGCTATGTGCGCCGGTGTTATACTTGAAGTAATCGGCTATGCGGGTCGTATCATGAGTTGGGAGAATCAATGGAAACAAGATGGATTTTTAATGCAGATTGTTTGCTTAACAATCGCACCGGCATTTATGGCGGGAGGAATCTATTTGTGCTTGAGAAGAATCGTATATGCTTTCGGACCGGAAAATTCAAGGATTAGTCCTGAGGCTTATACCAGAATTGTATGTTCTTGACACGTTTTCACCAGTCTTCTTTTCATGTCAGCCTAATACTAACTATTCCATAGTTCATTCCATGTGATCTTATGTCACTTCTCCTGCAAGCTGCAGGTGGTGGTTTGGCATCCGCAGCCTCACACTCAGGCAAATCCCCAGATACTGGAGATAACATCATGGTAGCTGGTCTCGCGTTCCAAGTTTTCACGCTATTCATTTTCATGATCCTCTGCGTCGACTTTGCATTACGCACACGTTCCCGATACCGCTCCCTCGGTAACGCCGCATTCGATCAAAATCCCGCTTTCATAACACTTCGCTCTTCTAAAGCATTTAAGGGGTTTTTAATCGCTCTTGCCCTTGCTACGATTTGTATCTTCTGGAGATCTGTATACAGAGTCGCGGAATTGGCAGAAGGATGGACTGGGAATCTTATCAAGAAACAAAATCTATTCATCGGATTTGAAGGGGTTATGGTTATTGTGGCTTGCTTCGCGCTAAACTTGTTTAACCCTGCCATTACCTTCAAGGAAGCAATGACTGGGTTGGGTGGTTTAGGCACGAAGAAGAAGATGAAGAAGGCAGGAGAAAAGACTAGCGATGGGGTTAGTGCCAGTAACAGCGATCTTGAGGCTGTTAAGGTAGCTCCTACTTAGATTGTGTGTGCGACTTGACTTAGCAACAGTTTTGGAAATGTTTTACGAATATAATCTCATAGCATTTTACAAGCGTTTATAGTTTTCTTTTAGATATCCTACATATAGTCGAAATATATTTAAATTTATTGAGTGCTTTTAGTCTCTTGGCAATGCAATGGTGGTTCTGCATGATCGTGGTCAAGTCGACTGCTTGTCGCGGGCTTGTTTTCCGATGTGATGGAGAGGGACTGACATCCCCTTTTCTGTGCGCTCTTACACTATCTGATGCACTGGCTCCATTTGAATGAATTCGATTCACTGGAATCTCTGTCCCTTGAAGATCGGTGAATGTTCTGATTCGCCTATTTGCTTCATCTTTGACAACGTTATTCACTGTGGTCAAGCAAGCTACTTATATTTGTTAATTTTTTTGCGGCAATTATAGACGTTGCTTTTCTACAGCAAAATACTACGACAGAAAGTTGAGAACTATTTTTTAAGGAATATATCCAGGCTCGCCTAAAACCGTATTGAATCTATCTCTTATTGCCGAGAGAAGGTTTCGTGCGAATCTTCTCACTTTAGGCAATGCATCATTCTATCAACGCGCTTCGTTCCTCATCGGTCTTCCAGCAAAATTCTTCTTTTCGGGCAATCTTTGATTAAAATACCTGCCGTGAAATGCTTTCGACGTCCGATGAAGATACATATACCCATGTTGGCGGTTTCAAAAAATACAATGAACCCGAAGGCCATCCCTTACAAAGCCATGGATGATAGCTCTCATGGATCTTATTCCACCCCAACAGCAGCCGTTATGGAGACTCGTGGATCTGTTCAACGAGGTGTTTCCTGGCACAAACAGCCTACTTATATGGTTCTCTTTGCCGTTCTCGGAATCGCCTTAGCATGCACTCATCATGGTTACTATTCATATCTGGATGGCAAACTAAGGACCAACAATTTTCAGAAACAATTTTCGATAACAATTGGAAGTCTTCTTGCTTTTTCTGTGGTCTCATCGTTTCTTGCAGCAAACTGTGCCGCCTATCCACAGTATCTTTGGATTTCCATACGAAAGAAAGCATTTACTTTAAGTACATTAGATAAGATGTTTGCATTGACGTCGGATCCAATGGGATTTCTGAGCGTAGAGATATTCAGGCATGCACCAGTTGTGGCTCTTCTCGCATTGGTCTATCGGTCAATGATTTGGAATTCATCGTAATATACAAGTTTGCTGACTACCTGGATTTAGGGCAATGAGTCTTGCAGCAATACTGCCTCCTGGTACGTTGATCATTGTTAATGGCATTATGAAGGAAACCTCTAACATTTCCATGCCTGCAATCAATTGGTCTAATGTCAACGTTTTCCAAGAGGATAATGTTTCCACTGTACCTGGCACTGTTGTTATAAACATTGGCACAGAAGCTGTCGAGAGCTCCAATATTGTTTCAATTGAAGGGCCAGCGCCTAATTCATCTTACTCTATCGACATTAGAGGTCCTTATCTTCAATGTATGGCACCTAACGATACCGAACAAATTTACTTTGATCAATATATAGAAAATCTTGCTCAGAACAACATCTTCACTTCGACCAGCTGGACCACGCGTTACCAAAATGCGTCTACTCTTTTTGACTCTCTTTCTTCTCCTTGGCCGTCTATGATCTGTCTATCTGCTTTTGATCCGTGGATGTATCCCGGTAATGATAGCTTGGGATGGTTGGCAATCGGTGAATTGGATACTTTATCTCCCGATCAATTCAATAACTGGGATGTCAGTATCAGACGAAATATATCAGCAGATCTCAGTAATACCAACAACAAATTCTTTTCGGTTCAACCTAAGCTATGGCTTTTGACAGCTAATGATACTTTTGTATGCGGGCTAGTCAACGGCACAAGAAAGGTCCATTTTAATTTTAGCGATGGCACACAGCATATAAACTATGGTATGCTTTATGATGTGGAACATGTCAACATGTCACGGACAAATGTTCCTGGCTACCCTGGAGCTCTGGACAATACACGCCATCATGACATCGCTCCCTATATATCCCTCTATCAATCCATGATATTAATGCTAAGTGGGAACATAACAGCTCAAATTGGTAAATCGGTTATGAGCTCCTTAGCTCTGAACACTGTGCGATTCGGCCTATCAAGCCGTGTTCTTTCCACTAGCTTAGCTGGTTGTGATGACTTCCTTAACGCATATTGGAATGATAATCCTCTGGTAGGAAATGCAGATTGCTTGCCGGCTGTGAGGTGAACCACAGGGTTTGTGCGTGGCGTAATGCATACACGGCTTTCAATATTAGCCGATCGTCCAATATCTATAATTCGACAGAACTCTTTACAAAACCTCCATCAGCTTGTCGTAATCATAGTCTGGCGAGAGGTGTCGAAGATTTGGCTGCGAATATTACCATCAGCACATTCAGCGAACCCAAACTTCTGTAAAACTCGCCGCGACATCAAGTACACACATCATCAAGTATCTCGGTGCTAACATTACTTTAGTAAGCAAAACGCAACAAATGTTCCAGTTACCTTCACGAATTCTACCAACGTCTTCTCGTATTCCCCGAAATATCTTTACCTCCCATACGGCATCGCAATTTTCTTCACTTGCCTTAGTTCAATCCTTGGTTTATACGCCTTCTACACTAATGGTGTTGTTCACAGCACAGCACTGTCGGCCATTATAGCCACGACGAGGAACCCGGATCTCGATATTCTTGCCGGTGAGAATATGTTAGCTAACACATCATTGAGTAAGGATATTAGAAACGTAAAGTTAAGGTTGGGTGTGATGAGGGGGAAAAGAACGGAGGGGGAGAGAGTCGCGTTGGGTAGACCCGAAGAAGTGAGGGAATTGAAAAAGCGATGGTTTTGAGACCCGGGTGGGTTACTTGCGTGCAATGTGTTATAGATGATAGTTCTTTTTATTATACTGATGGTCTTGGGCAACGAAAGTAAACCTGCTTTTCAGTTTTGTTAAATGAAGATTATTTTCCGAAAGAAAGACAAATTGTCACCTGAAATGCAGCTTATTCATGCTTTACACGACGATTAAGAGGATTTGAAGGGAAATGCATATTCCTCATCATAGAGAAAGAGAAGATCATTGATTTTGCGATAGTTGTGTAGTACCCCGAAATTTGAGCGCGACATAAACGTTTATCACTGGCGGTTACTCCTAAATATGGAAGAGCAGTAAGACCTGATACTTTATTGCATTTCTTAATATATCTTAAAACAAGAGTTCATAATCTATTTTCCGAGTCGATCTTCAAAATGACGTGTATATCAGATCGGTGCGAGCAATGTAATCAGTACCACTCAATCTCACAGAAAATAATGTACTCTATGCAAATGGCAATCACGATTGATGTATTTATATATTTTGGCTTGGTCAATTACCATCTGAAAATTAATTTTTCATGCCAATGGCAACGAGAAAAATAATAATTGTTCTCATTAAAGGCCTTATTTCATTGTCCAAATTCACTTCCAGCAATCTATCAGACCAAATTCCTACTGGTGAAGTATGATTCTGCATCTACAACGTCGTCTTATGTCTCGTGACAATCACAAATTTTCTTTGCAGATCAAGAATCACCTCAGTCTTGGTAGCAACTTTGACCTCACATTGAGGCTGAGACTAGGAAGTTTCTTAGAGATTGAAATCCTTTATACCCACCAGACGAAAAGTCCAAGAGGAAGATGGATCATGCAACGCATTTCGAACAGCAGAAATCTCAATAAATTGTGTTGAGTTTTGAACCTAGGAGCTCAATGCAAAGCTACTTTAGCTATAGGAGTATATAGAGTTTTCGGAATATCAAATGTGTCGCAACAATTATCCATATGATCAAGACGCATAAGATATCTTTTGCAGCCTCTCTCAAATTAGTTCTCGCACCACTACAGAAATGCCCTCTCTACTCACGAATAACTCATTGAGCTATAAGATAGAGACTGGAATTACAGCAGCAAGTCTAGGCAAGGGATTGAAGTGACTTGCTCGAAGGAAAAAATAGTTCAAATGTGCTGGAGAAGATCACTGTTCTGGATTCGATATGAAGAAATAGAAAGTTGGTATATGACAGTAGATTAAGTTTATTGTCAATTGTAAAGTTGTGCTGGGGACAATTATCAAACTATCGACAATGGCAGCATGAAAAGAGAAAGACTGAAACATTGCAGCAACAATTTATACAACTCAAGGTAAAAATGTTATATTTTTCTTATTTTCAGGTCATCAAGCGAGGCTGCCTTGCAACTACTAATCACGCAATACACAAGGTATTGAGGGCGACTGGTGGACCTCAAATGTAAAGAACGTATAGTCTGTAGATAAAAAGTAGATGAGAGTAATAATATTCGTTTTTACTCCACAACCCCATTCATTCAAAGCAGCGATATTGATGAATTAGAATGCAGACTCCATGTCTTTCAGCCGAGAATAGTGTTGCCAAATATTACTAACAACTAAAAGCCAATGCTTAGCTGGTAATTTGCTGCGAAAGGCTAGTTCAAGGAGGTGATGTGTTTGTATCCACCCATGTTGCTTAAGCTAGCTATGTTCAACCGCTCTCTATTACAATAGGGATGGTAGAGCGATATGAAAATAGGAGAAAGCGAGGGGTCTCTCATTGCTTTGTGGCTTTCTGATTTCCAGTACCAAGAATATCACCCTGCTCTTCGCTTCCGTTCTTGGCCCGATCTATCCTCTCTTGAGTCGTCTTGAACAATCGTGGAACACCAGTATTCTCGAACGGTACGTCTTCTGAGACCATCTTGGCAATAGCTTTACCAGAAAGCCAAATGACTGGCATACCATGACCATTGAACCCGGCAATTACAAACTGATTGGGTTTTCCAGGTACCTCACCAACGTGAGGATTTGAATCGTAAGAATATCCCATAACTCCAGTCCAGATATTGCCAACTTTAGCACCAGAGTCCTCCCAGCCATTGTAGGTTTTCTGCATGTAATTTTCATAATAATCCTTTGCTGACTCGATGAGAACACTGTCATCAACATTATTGTACCATTGATCTTTATGAGGTCTAAATTTCGACCCGGCACCACCGACGATGATACTACCATCTGCTCTGGGTATAAGATATGAAAGGGTGTTGTCTTCTGTTCGGTTGATATAAGTGTTGTTGAGAAGTGGTGCTGTCTTGCCTTCAGGTACAGTTATACGGCAACAGATACCTTTGCAAGGAACTATATTTTGATCGTATTCGGGAAGAAGCGCAGATATGTATGCATTGTTGGCATATACTATCTTGCCAGCATGTATATTTCCTCTGCTTGTCCCAATTGTGAGGCCTCCACTGGGTACACTGCTTACACTAGTCACTGGTGCGTTGGTTTGCAAGTTAACTTTCCCGGTTGGCAAAATTATTTCGAGAAGCCCCAGTATAAACTTATAAGGCCACATACTCCCAGCTGTGTATGAAGCACAAGCCTTAGCACCCTTAACTCCACAGATCTAAGAAAAGGTTAGAGATGGATCATTCTGATGCACGGAATCTCACTTACGCCTTCAACTTCTTTCCCCGTATGGAAGATGACATCATCCATGTACTCAAAATCGTTCTTTACCATCTGGTCATATACTGCCTTAGCTTTCTTTGCCATCTCCTCATTACACCATACATCAACTGTGCGGCAGAGGCTAAAGTCACAATCTATATTCTCTTTTTCGATGAGTTTCTTAATCTCCTTGACGTGAGCAATCTCAAACTCTGCAATCTCAGCTCCTGCACGTGGTCCACCTCGCTCAACATAAGTTGGAATATGACCATACAAATCTGGTCTCAAATGTCCTCCATTCTACCAGTTGCACCCGAACATGCACCTCGTGCCTCTATAATAGTGATTGACTTGACCGAGTCACCGCCCTCTTTGACTAGATGATATGCGGTGCTAACCCCAGCGTACCCCGCACCGACAATGACTACATCGCTGTGCGTTGGGAGATCTTCTGTAGAGCGGTGGTCATGTAACCTATGCTTTTCAGATTGCCAGAAACACTCTCCTGGGTTAGAAACTGGCAGACACTTGGATACTGTCGAGTTTGATTTTGATGGTGCGACCGAAATCGAGAGGTCATTTAAGGTTTCGGAAACAGTCTTCATGGTGCCGATAGTGTTCTTCGTTTCTCAGCTTTGACTTGGGGGTTCTGAAGGAACACCGGTATGCGTATATGGACTTCTAAGTAATTCTTTTGATCGTTTGGCGGGAAGGTAATGTTTTATATTTTTGCTGTGTGTAATTCCGAAGATGGTTGTCCAGGTACTATATAAAGTGAAATTTTGGGACACTTTCTAGTGATACGGTAGTAATTGACATGCAGAGGTTTCTTCGTCTCTTTAAAGACTCAGACTGCAACCTACTATAAACATCCGTACACAGGTTCACGGTAAACTATGTGTATACCTTGATAATTGATTTGTAATATTGAAAGCTCAAAGGTATGTATTAGGAAAGGTTAAAATATTTGTAATCAATCTATTATATTACAGGTATTACCTTTTCTAACACACATATCTTTACAGAAGGTTGCTGTAAGAATCACTACGCTCATCGGAATTGGCGATGATTAGACTAATAGTGAGTAATTGATTGATTGTGAAAGTAATACACAGCTTGCAGTGCCCGTAAATGCAAGCTTATAGTACAACGAGGGTGGTCTTGATAATGAAACGTGACATCTCCTGATCTCTCCACGTTCTTATCAGATGTCTAACCTTACGGTCGCTCGGCCCCTCTCCTCCAACCTTATCAAATTGGCCATTGGGCCCTTCACAATCTTATCAATCGATATCCGACTATGACTAGGTGAGTACCTAGGTACTGATACCTATTTATCTCTGCAATTTCACTTAGTCAACGCTGTTTTCAACTTTCTCGAATCGGGCTGATTTCAAGCTCCCTGACGTGATGATGTTTGTTATGTGACACCTTTCATGTATATCAGACGTTTTAGGCATATGAAGTACGGCCAAGTATTCCGCGGCAATTGCAGACGGAATTGCAACGGTTAACTTGCAAGCTTACGTGGTAAAGTGGCGTAAATAAACTAGCCGCCTCGATTTTAGTGTCTTCCGCCGTCCCGAGTGGGGATTCCGAAGGACTACTTCTATATCTGGCTCTTTTATCCAAATGAACGCATATACTACCCAGCTACCTTATAGGTAGTATATTCCAGATCCGGCTGAGCTCAAAGTCATTGGTCAATTGCAAGTATGAACATTACGACGTATCCCCCCACATTTTCTTGCTTCGAGCGGCTGTTCTATAATCTGAGCTAGCAGACAGGTTGGAACAACACCATCTTCACCTGCGATTTATTGTCTTGTAGAAGAACTGGACTACTATCTAACTAAATTGTGATTTGGATGAACTACGAGGAAGCTATGCTTTAGGCTATGGAGGAGGTGATTCTAATCTAAGTTTTCAATAATGTCAAAACTCCAACAAACCATTCAATACAAAACATCATCTGAAGTATAAAGACTGCGTACAAGGGCTGAATGCTTATCAGCTCTGCGGGTAGAGGACCCTGGAAGCTTAGCACGCAATGAGATAGTTCACAGCTTCAACAAGTTGGTTTGGCTGAAAGGATGTTATCATTATGTGGGTTAAGCAGGGGACGGAGCCGAAGGAGCATTTTGGGTATCATTGACTTAGCGGGGTAGCAACCAATTGCGGATATACCCTTCCTCAGTTCTGGCAAAAGCTATGATGCAAATTGCTTCGAGACGAACGAGAGATAACTGTCATCATGATAAGGGACTTCTACTTGATATACATTATCTACAGCTAGCTCGATGTGGCTTCCCTACCAATGCAGGGTAGAGGATTCTGTGATCTGAAAGAGTACAAGATAGACCAGAAATACGCTGTATTAAGGTCCATCACTCTTGCACAGGAATATTTTCTTTCATCCCTCTTGGTTGATATTGGTATCTTTCAAAGATGTCCTTAGATCATAAATCAGACGACTACGAGCTCGGCCATGGAGGCTCCAAAAATGAGGCTATCGGACAAGGGGATATCGAAGTTCACTCTAGTCAACATGAGAACGGAACGGTAGTAGAGTTTCAGGAGGTGAAAGCTTTTAGGCAAGGCCTTCATCAACGCCATATTCAGATGATTGCGCTTGCCGGAACAATTGGCACTGGTCTATTCCTTGGTTCTGGCCGAGCAATTGCAAGATCAGGTCCTCTGGGTGCATTTCTTGGTTATTCGGTGGTTGGCCTCGCTGTTTCGAGTGTAGTGTTTGCTGTTGGAGAAATGGGAGCCTTAATTCCTCTCACTGGAGGACAAGTTCGTTATGCTCAGCACTTCTTCGACCCTGCCATGTCTTTCGCCAATGGCTGGAACCAAGTCTACTCATACATTGTCTCTATTCCTTCTGAAATCGTTGCCGCTGCAGTTTTAGTAGAGTTCTGGACGACAATCAATAATGCAGTTTGGATTACAGTTTTTGCCGTTCTCATGATCTTGACCGCAGTCACTTTTGTTAGGGTCTATGGTGAATTGGAGTTTACGTTTTCTATGCTGAAGATTATGCTTGTCATCGGAATTAATGTAATGGCTCTCGTTATTACCTGTGGAGGAGGTCCGAATCATGAATCGATAGGCTTTCGTTACTGGAGGGACCCAGGACCTTTCGTCCAGTATTTGGGTATTGGCGGTAGCTTGGGTCGCTTCCTTGGATTTTGGACAACACTCAACAATGCTTCATATGCATATTCTGGAATCGAGAATATCACTGTAGCTGCAGCAGAGACAAAAAATCCAAGAAGAGCAATCCCAATGGCCGCTAAGCGCATCTTTATCCGAATTCTTTTGTTTTACATTCTGACCATCTTCATGGTCGGTCTTGTGGTTCCATCCAACGATCCCAATCTTCTTCAGTCTAGTGGTACTGCCTCACAATCACCATTCGTTATTGCTGCGAAGAATGCCGGTATCAAGGTTATCCCATCTATCATCAATGCTGTTGTACTTACCTCTGCTTGGTCTTCCGGAAACTCCAGTATGCTCGGCGGGACGCGAATTCTCTTTGGTATGGCTATGTATGGACACGCCCCCAAATTCTTTACTAGAGTGAACCGTGCCAGTGTTCCTTATATTGCAGCTGCTTTATATGCAGTTTTCATGTGCTTGGGCTACATGACTTTGTCGAGTACTGCTAGTACAGTTTTCACTTGGCTTCAAGATCTTGTCTCAATTGCAACCTTGGTTAATTGGATATCCATCTTGGTCGTCTACCTTAGATTTCAAGCTGGCTGTAAAAAGCAAGGAATCAATCGCCACACTGAGCTTCCATGGGCCGCACCACTCCAGCCATACACGACGTGGGTTTCTCTGACCCTCTTTGTCGTTCTCCTCTTTACCGGAGGATACGTGACTTTCATTCATGGCGAATGGGACACTGAGACATTCATCTCGTCATATTTGAACATTCCTCTCTTCCTAATGCTGTTTTTGAGCTACAAATTTTATGCCAAAACTAAAATGGTTTCTTTGGAGGAAATGCCTATTCGTGGATTCATTGAGATTTACCAACAAAACCCAGAGCCAGAGGAGGAGCCCAAGAAGGGGCTTGCAAGATTGAATATTCTGTGGTCATGAGACCTTCTGCAGCAATTTTGTCACAGCATGTTTAGCATTATTATTACATAGCTACTTGAACAAGATTGTAATTACAACTCTTCCTTCTTCTTGTAGATTTAGAATTCTGCTGAACAAGACGGGCATATGTGAGGGCGTGTATTTCTAGCAATATTGCTTATTCATCCATCAACTCTACAATACTTTGACTTAGAACTTTGAATATCATGATTTCATGAATCCCAGTTTCAGCGCAATTCGTCATCGCCACTCACTCGTCAACAGACGACACAACTTTCAAAAATGGCAAGCACTTGCGACGGTTATTCCGAATCTTCTTCACCATGGCCAATGAAAATCCAAAATATCCAAATTCATTTCCAACCGATTTGGAGATAACAAGATACCTGGATACAGAGTAATGTAGAGTTTGCGGAAAAGGAACCCCGTAGATAAGTGCGATACCCGAAGCTTATCCGACCCCAACCCCTGAAGCCGACGCATGCAGTCTCGCAAAGTTGCGATAAGAAGCGACCATACACAGATGAAGTATTATAAATAAAAGATGCTATAATAGGAATATGCTGCAGAAAGATGCTGCAGATAAGATATCTTGAGTGGGATAGTCGTTCTCGGGGAGTTAACTTTAATGCTGGTTTAGACGCTGAATATGGAGCAAAGAAGGAGGGGTGTGCATTAAAGTTGAAACCTACTAGATAAGCCATAAGATAAACTTCCTTCAAGAACTATGTTCAGTAATCAAGAGATATCAGAACTTCGGGCGAGATCGGACATGTTATTAGATTGCGGTTGTAGTGAGGTTACGTACAATATGAAGATGGTGCCAATGCGGGGAATCTCTTATTGCGGATCACGGCATATACATCGTGGGGCTTCCCGCAATTAGCAATCCGTAGGTGGGATCAAGTAGATATTGAGATAGTGTCTCTGTCATTAAGTATATCGTATTTTGAATGACACATACATTGTTATCATAAAAGTAACAATTGAGTTGGAATCACATATTGCTGGAAGGTAGAGAGCACAAGTTTAGTCATTCAAAGCGCAGAGTAGATCAAACCAATTATTTCACTCTGTACCTCTGTCTCCGGATCAACAAATCTAAACTTTGCATTATATCACTTGACCAAAATAAACCGTTCCATTTCCATGAGCCAGCAAGCAATCAATCACTAAAACCCAATAACCAAAGTCAGAAAATACAAAAATGGGCGGCCAAAAACATGTCGTCTTCGACATCGTCGGCACCCTCGTCTCATTCGACGAATACCACGCGCAAATCGACCGCGCCATTGGCAAAAAACTCCGCGCCCACAACATCACCGCAAAGTTCTTCGGCTACAGCTGGATGACCGCTGCCGAGCTAGAATTCACATTCCTCTCCATTTCCGAGCGATATAAGCCCTACAAAGGCATCTTGGAGTCAACTTTCTACCGCACTTTATGGTTCGCCGGAGTCGACGACCCGCGAGCCCTGTGCACTGATGAAGAA